AGGAAACTGGAGCTGAATTTTCCGGCGCCACCCTCGCCCCAAAAGCAGGCTTTAAAGTGGGGGATCAGAAAGGTGTTTTTGGGTTTTGAAGGTCCGGCATGTTGGGGGATTGTTTTTAGGTTCCCCCTATGGGGGAAGTGGTTTGTGCGCTGAATTTGTGAGCTTCAGTGGAGGGGTACTTTTGTGGCGTGCACATCCTGTGGAACCCCACAGGGGTCTAAACTTCGGCATGATTCGGCCCATAGAACTTTCCAGTACGGCCGAAACGGTACAGGGGGGACAAAGGTTCACTCGACCTTCGCTGGCCCAAAGTCAGAGATTTCAAAGCTGCTGTCCATGGACTGGCGCATTGGATCTCCGCCCTTGAGATATTCTTTGCCATGACCATCTAGATCTGAGAGAAGAGCTTTGAGCTGGCAGACCTCGAGGCACTTGGGTGTTCGATTCGCCAAGTTAAGTGGTTAGCCACTTGGATTTTCACCCCCTAAGGCTAACCGCACTGAAAGGAAGGACCTCTAAGTAGGTTAGAACCTATCTTACTAACGACTTTCTAACTTGGCGAATCGAACACCCAAGTAGCCAACTCCCGAACATGTGGCTCATGTTGGCACTTAGGGGCGTTCCAAGTCATACAGGGGGGCGGCTTGGACATTTTGAGGTTGTGGCAAAAGGGAGTCCTAAGTGAATGCATGGGTCTTTTTCCAAGAACATGAAATCGGAGATCAGGTTTTCCTGGATTGAACCTACCACTTGGGGGCTGAGTTTGATTAACAAACATGTTGTTTAACACAAATGAAGGCTAGAGAGGTTGGCCCTCACCTGTCCAACCCACTTGGTAAAGTAGATTGCAACCCTAGTTACACCCTCAAGCGCAGTTCCAACAAAAGGTTTGACCTACTTACCTGACATGCCTTGAACATCCAAGTGGGCTCGCGTCGCAACAGGACGGGGTCAACAATGGTGGTAAGATGGCCAGGTTTTGGCCAGTGACCACATCTCCCAGATACCAGTTGGTTTGGATCAAGATCTGAGGACCTATGTTTTGTGTCGTTGTATCCGTTCAGGAACCCTGCTTCACTGCGGGCCGGAAACAAAGGCACAGGCAGACTCGCGGACAGGCCTCGGCCAAGAGCAAGCCTCGACGCACGCCCTCCATCACGATCCCGAGCGCCTTGAGTTGGGGAGTCGCCCATCGAGTCGCCCCGAGTCGCTGTCAGTTGGGTGGGGCCCGTTTTTTCAGGCAAAGGTTGGGTGTGCCTTCTTTTGAAAGTGCATGTTTTGTTTCTTTTTGTCAGAACTAGACGGAAAACCCACCCTTTTGGAGAGGTCCCCTAAAACCAACACCAGTTGTATGAAAGCGATCAGGTGACACAATTCCCATTAGATGTGGGGAAGTAAAGGGGATGACGAAACCAAACTGGAGATGGCGCCATCTACTTTCTCTCAACTGTAGCAGTGTTTTCCGTTTTGGGACGGTAGAAACGAGAGTTGAAAGCGCAGAAAAAGAAACCCATGTTGGTGGTTTGGGGTTCCTTTTAATGAGAAGGGAGTTAGGAAAGCCGAAACACGTCCTTGCTTTTCAATTGAGACACCGCGATGAGAGGTTCGGGCTTCAGAGCTCACGAGACACGTCCACAAGAGGATGTAAGGTGCATGTGGTTTTGTCTCAAAAGGCCACCCAGCCATCAAAACAGCCAACAAAAAACGCAAACCAGCCAAACAAAGGCAAACCAGCCAAAAAAGGCAAACCAGCCAAAAGAGGCAAACCAGCCGGAACAAAAAAGGCAAACCAGCCAAAAAAGGCAAACCAGCCGGAACAAAAAAGGCAAACCAGCCAAAAATGGCAAACCAGCCGGAACAAAAAAGGCAAACCAGCCAAAAATGGCAAACCAGCCGGAACAAAAAAGGCAAACCAGCCAAAAATGGCAAAGCCAGCCGGGCAAACAAACAAAGGCAAACCAGCCAAAAATGGCAAACCAGCCGGAACAAAAAAGGCAAACCAGCCAAAAATGGCAAACCAGCCGGAACAAAAAAGGCAAACCAGCCAAAAATGGCAAACCAGCCGGAACAAAAAAGGCAAACCAGCCAAAAATGGCAAACCAGCCGGAACAAAAAAGGCAAACCAGCCAAAAATGGCAAACCAGCCGGAACAAAAAAGGCAAACCAGCCAAAAATGGCAAACCAGCCGGAACAAAAAAGGCAAACCAGCCAAAAATGGCAAACCAGCCGGAACAAAAAAGGCAAACCAGCCAAAAATGGCAAACCAGCCGGAACAAAAAAGGCAAACCAGCCAAAAATGGCAAACCAGCCGGAACAAAAAAGGCAAACCAGCCAAAAATGGCAAACCAGCCGGAACAAAAAAGGCAAACCAGCAAAAATGGCAAACCAGCCGGAACAAAAAAGGCAAACCAGCCAAAAATGGCAAACCAGCCGGAACAAAAAAGGCAAACCAGCCAAAAATGGCAAACCAGCCGGAACAAAAAAGGCAAACCAGCCAAAAATGGCAAACCAGCCGGAACAAAAAAGGCAAACCAGCCAAAAATGGCAAACCAGCCGGAACAAAAAAGGCAAACCAGCCAAAAATGGCAAACCAGCCGGAACAAAAAAGGCAAACCAGCCAAAAATGGCAAACCAGCCGGAACAAAAAAGGCAAACCAGCCAAAAATGGCAAACCAGCCGGAACAAAAAAGGCAAACCAGCCAAAAATGGCAAACCAGCCGGAACAAAAAAGGCAAACCAGCCAAAAATGGCAAACCAGCCGGAACAAAAAAGGGCAAACCAGCCAAAAAAGGCTGTTTTGCCTTTGGTTGCCTTTGGACTGCCCCCCCCGCCCCCCCCAGAAAGGTGTGGCCTCCACCGAGAGCCACCCGGATCCGAGGTGACGAGGTCAAAGAGCGAGAGGTCCACGTCGAAGAGCGCCGTGGCAGATGGATGCCCCCGGTGTGGGGAGTATTGACGCCAACCCAAACGTCAGGCCTTGCCCAGTCCTTGCCGTTTTCTCATTTTCGTTTTTAGATCTACAGGGTACTTTCTCATGTATGTTCCATTCTGGGTTTGAGTGGCAACAGCCTCTTTTGAGGGATCCAAAGGGTGTTTTCATGTATGTTCCATGGTAGCGTGGCAAACATTGACCTCACATGTTGCCTGATGCAAGCAGAACTGGAGGATGTGTTTGGCCTTGGTGGGAGTCGACTTCCCAATTGACGCTGTTGCTGCGCTGACACTTGCGTGGCGTGACTTCGGAAAAGTGAATTCTCCTCTCACTTTCGCGCCAAAAGATCTCGAGATGGGCGTTTCTCATAAAACCGTGGATGGACGAAACTCCTTTCGCACCACTTTTTCAAGCCGTGGTTGAAGCCATAGCGTTTCTGGGCACAGGGGAATCGAACCAGCGGGGTGTCAGCCCAACCTCCGAGGCCGCGCAAGGCGCGAGACCGCGAGTGAGCACTCGGGACTCGGAGGTCTTCTCCGGGAGAACTCCGGCGGATGGACCCGGGCGGAGGGACAAGGGGTTTATCCCCACTGTGCTACAAGAGAATCTCCCCCTTTATGTTGTTGGGAAACATTTTGCTGAATTATTTTTGCTTATTGTGGTTTGGTGGTTCAAATCCAACCACTTAGCTGCTAAAGTTTAATTTGTTGCTCCCCTTCCAACGTCAACCAAGTCTTTATGGGGTTAGTCTTTGAAAAGCCCACTTTGTTGTATCACAGAAGTGGTCCGTTCCCACGGATGAAACCCTATGAATGCTGGCCTTGGTCATCATGGATGCGCAGTGGATCAATTCGTCCATGGGAAGCTCGAATTGACGTGAAGCTGTGGGTCAAAACCAATAGTGCCATGTTGGGGTAGGTGCCCCGCCTATTTTAGAACCTATTTTAGCGGGGGTTGGGATATTCACTGAGGGTACGGGATTTGGACCCAGGGCAATTTCTTTGAAACATTAGTTGAACCAGCGCTCTGATGTGAACGCCTGCAGAACGGGGTGTTTGTGCATGCCAATCGCTAGAGTCTAGAGGCCGGCAGGATAGCAGACGGAAATAGACAGCTGGGTGTGGGTCCAAAATAATGGAATCCTGCTAAATGGAAACAACGACTGAAACCTGCGGTCCCCCTGGTGGTTTGAATTTGACCCATACCCAGCTAGATCAATGCTGGTGTCTTTGGTTTCACCCGCTCGAAACCCAGAGGTCAGCGGGCGAAGAAAACCATGCTGCCAAACGGCAGCAAAGGCGTCCGGTTGGCATGAAAATGATAACATGCGCAGGACTAAGATCCTTGCTTTTGGGGGACACGCACGCATGTCCTCAAGTAAAATGTGTGTGTGTGTGTAAGTGTAGGTGTAAGTGTAGGTGTAAGTGTAAGTCTGGCTGTAAGTGTGACACTGCGGTTGCGTTTGCGTGTTTGTGTCTTTGTGTATGTGTGTTTGCATGTGTGTTGGTTCTTGAGGGTACCCTTTTTCAGGTTGATTCTCAGGGACACCTACAGGACCCTTTCAGGTGAGCTGGGATTGGGATTGGTTTCCTTTTGTATTTTCTATACCCAACGGGCGGGACAGATTTCCAGGCTTTCCTGAGCACTCCAAGAGGTTTTTATAGAGAAAGTATGAACCTGAGCGTCTATGGCCCTGGTGAGTTTTATGCTGAGGCCAAGGGTCTGGAGAGTGTCTGAGCTTTCAATCCAAGAGATGTAGCCACTATATCAAGTGTAAAAAGCACAATGTTTTCCACTGGAAGCAGCCATTTAGGTGAAAACCATCGTAGGATATGTCGGGAGTCCCAGCTTTGTGTGCACCCAGAATTATGCTTGGGACGTTGTTGGAACAGGGTGTACTTCCAGACATCGATCGACTTGTCATGCCTTCGTCCAGACATCAATCCAGTACAAAGACGTCTTGTTTGCTCTAGACGGGGTGTACTTCCTGAGCAAACAAAACTCTGTGTAAATTCTTTCGCCTCACATGACTTGCTCCTCCACCCTTACCCAAAAACGTTGCCCGCAGGTCAGCCGCTGCACAGCCCTCTGGAGGCTCCTTGATTTTTTTGTTCGTTCAACATGGCGCCTGATAGAGTGTCGGACTTCAACCGGAACCATGTGTCTTTGAATTTACACCATCCGTGTTTATTTTGAAATGCCTCAGTTTGGAGTCTCATTGTTTTTTTCACAGACAGGGCGAGCAAGCAAGTGAGTGAGCGACTGGTGATTCCAAAGAAAAAACACGTCGGTCCCGTTTTTTGTTTTTTTTGGAAATCACGCCTGGGGGGTCCTGAGTGCTTTTCTTTTTGGAATTGCACATGTTGAAATCACGCCTGGGGGGTCCTTTTTTTCAAATCCACACCTGGAGAGTCCAGGTGTCTTTTTTTGAAATCACGCGTGGGGGGTCCCATTTGATTTGTTTTATCACGCGGGGGGGGGGGGGGGGGGGGGGGCCCGGTGTTTGGCGCCGTTTTTTTTGCTTGTTTGAATCACACATTTTGAAATCACGCCTGGGGGCGTCCCGGTGTTCTTTTTTTTGAAGTCACGCCTGGTGCTTGTTTTGTTGCATTCATGCCTTGCTGTTTTTTTTTGTCTTTTGAATGCAAAAAAAAGCAAGCACCGGAACCCCCCAGGCGTGATTTCAAAACAAAACACCCGGACCCCCCAGACTTGATTTCAAGAACAAGTCACCGGGACCCCCCAGGCGTGATTTCAATATACGTGAAAAACACCGGAGCCCAATCCAAGTCAAGTTGTCAACTACATGGGTCCTGTTGGAGTTTGAGTTGCCTTAGGTTCTGAGATCCCAAAAGCAGGTTGGTGTGTGGCCCTGAGTCCAAAGCCTCACCAGGGTAGGAATACATCTCATTGGCTCGGTTGCGTCTTTGAGGCTGGACGTGTCAAATCTATTCAGCATACCGCACACCCTCCATCACGCTATCCCTTCCCTGAGTTCTGTTTCGGACTTTGGTCACTTGTTGAGTGACCAGTTTGGTGGCAAACAACAAGCTTGTTTTTTTGTTTTTGTTTTTATGGCTGGCCAATCCACTCAGGGCTTGGGTCTTTTTAGGGTAAGCCCTTGTCAGGTTGTAGAGGGGGGATCCAGGAAAGCCACCCACGTGGCCAGCAACCGGCAGGCTTTGCCAGCTGGTTTCAGTTTGAGCCCGAGCCGCGCAAGGAGGCGGGCTTTTGCCCCTTGAGGGTTTTGATCAGAGCCAGGTGTGACTCCAACCACCAGCAGGAGTGGTAACAATGACATATTTTATGGAACAGCGACCAAACATGTATAACACTGGCGCGGGTTTAGGTTTCATTGCCAGTCGTGGTTACAACTCGCCTCCTCCAACCACTATAAAAAAGCAATCTCAAGAAAGGTCCCCTTCTTCATCAGGGTCACTGGGCAACTGGGCAACACCGCTCCGTAAATCACTAGCATGTTGAACAACTGACATGCATGCTGCCCCGTGGTAGCCTGGGTTTTCCAACAAATGTTTCACTTTCACATGCGGAGATCTGCGAGCTGGATCTGGCTGGCCGGAATCTGCAACTGGCCGGGGATGGTTCCAACCGAAGCCTCATGCATGTTTGCACAGGCGGCCTGTCTCTTGCATTTTTGTTGATGTCTTCCACCATAGGGGCCAGCGACGGCCGTAGCTCGTGTTTTGTTGGGCCCAATTCTTTGAGGGGTTCCTTTCATCTTTGTTCCCTCTAGTTCCCTTCAGCCCTTTGTTCCTTTGCTCCTTCCATCCGTGTTCTCTCCAGCTCTTTGTTTTTTGGGGGGCTTTGGACAGACCTCGCGAACCGCGAAAACATAGGCGCCGGTGGACCGGGGGCCGGCACGGCTGCTGGCACAGATGCCCAGCATGCAGAAGCTTTGCCAGGCCGAGGCCGGGCGCTACTTCGGGCGTAGCCAGTGGCGAAAACACGAGGAAAGCTTGCTGTTCATACCCGCCCTGCAAGCCTAGCATGTGACATGGAGCCCAAAAAGGGGCCCCCCAAAAGGAGCTTTCTCTTCCAAGGGTGTTTTTGGGTTTCATGTTACTTTGTAGGAGTGTAGTCCTCTTTTCAAGTTACCCCTGTATAAGGTGGGTTAGCCGAGAGCGGTTCTGCCTGAGATTTGGGCGATGCTGTGACAGCATCCTCTTACAAAGGCCACTTGTCCACTTCAGACTTCCATAATGATTGCAAAGAGGATAACGTGATTTGAAAATCAGCATGAAGAAGAAGACGAAGAAGAAGAAGGGGAAGAATGACGAGCAAATTTGAGGATGGGAGGGGAGGGGAGGGGAGGGGAGGGGATGGGAGGGCAGGAGGGCAGGAGGGCGGGCGGGGGGGAGGGCTGGCACATGAGTCTCTGGACCGCTATGCCATAGGAGAGGGATAAGAGGAATGCCATCTCCCATTTCTTCCTTTGCCTTTCTCAGCTCTCTTTCCTACAACTCACCTCGCCCATCCCTACCACCCACCATTTGTCCCAGTTCCCGCGGTCGCAAGAGAAATGAGTGGCAGGACACGGGGGAACCCGAGAAACCGGGGGCACCTTGAAGATATACATGGAGAACTACGATCTTGCCATAGACACAAAAGAATGGCTTTGTGGAGGACATTATGTTGATGATCCAACATTGAAGAGGCTCTTATCTTTCATTGTCGATGCCCATGTCTTGTTTGTGGGTGTTTTCTCTATCACATTGTTTTTCTACATGTTCTATCTTTTATATGCTCTAACAGGGATTGGACTAAGAATTAAACAGCATGCTCGTTTAATGAGTAGTTGATGCACATGGAGACAATCAATTTGTAGCTACTGTAACTCCCCACAAATTCATTTGTCCATTCAGTAAATCATAACCCATACATGTTTGTTGCACCATGCAGGGGTAAACAGATAGTTTCAAAAAACCAAGTATTTGGTTAGAAAAAAAGAATCATAAGACATAGCATTTCCAAGATGTAGCAATATCAAGAAAGGCAACTTATGCACCATTGAAGAGCACGAACACATCATCCATGAGAAATGCGAACTATGCTGAGCTAACATCTGATGTTGCAGGTAAACCTAAGAATATTCCAGAGATAGTGTGCAATACAATCGTACTTCCAAAAACAACAGTGCTTCAAGCATAGTCGTTGATCAGAGGACAAGGACATGGTTGTAAATGCGGTTTCATATCAATACAATTTATATGTTTAACATGCCAATCGTGTAACATGTTATGCATATGTATCGCTCTATTTCTCATTGATTTGTGTGTTGTTATTATTTTGATTTCATCCTTGGAAGTCTTCACTTTTTCTCTTCCTTTTCGTTTTGTCAATGTTTTACCATATTTGTTTTATTCATTATTGTTTGCTTCCATATCCTATTATTGCTTTTGGATTTTTATTAATCACTTTCCTTTATTCGACTGTCTATCTTATGTGAAATGGATGCAATGAGTTCGTTGGGAGATGATGGACCTCGAGATCTCAGAGGTGTGACTTGACGAAGAGCGAACCAAATACCAATCCCATTCTTTACCATCCTATCCCTTTCTCAACGAATAATTGTATGGGAAATGGGGCTCGCTCCGTCCCTTTGCTCTCTTCTCATTTTGCGCTTTCTTCACCTTTCTCTACCTAATGAAAGGTGTTCCTCTCTTCGCTCGCTCATGTCCTACGTCTTCCCGTTCAACAGACCAAAGACTGCCATCTCTTACTTCCTCGTTTTCCTCGCGAATAGACGGTGAGGAAAGAGGGAAGACATAGAAGAGGGAGGCTGGGCGTTTCTCGGCTCATTTGGCCTGGCATGAGATGGATGAGCTGAGAGAGACTCTGGATTTCATGGCCACACGCTTCGCTCGTTCTCCTTCTATCCTCCATGCCTACTTGAAGACCTAAGAAATGAGAAAAGAGGTGGGAATGGAGGTAGGATGAGGCCAGGCTGCTATTCCAGAGGTAAGTGGGAGAGTGACAAGACAAGGATTGGGATTAAGCCTTTGGAGCTGTCTCATTTGTTAATGCAGCATTCTGTTCATATCTACAACTTTAAGTTGTATTTCTAGTCGACTTTCTCTTCTCACGTTGGCACGCCCTAAAGCCAGGGAGGGAGGGAGAGGAAAGGAGGGAGGGAGCGAGGGAGGGAGGAAGCAGTTGATTTCTCTGAGGGGGACACCGCTGAGCTGAATTAAGTCTCTGTGCCCAAATCGATTCCCCAGACACCCAGCACATGCAAAGCATGCTTTCATTTTTTGAGAGGAGGTGGGCCCCTGTAAAATCGACCAAAAGAAGGTGAAAAGTCAAGGCGTGAACAGGCGCTACCCAAATGGGTGTCTGGCCCCAAGCTTGAACCCCGATTTCAATATTGGCAAGGACCCAATCTGGATCCATAGCTTAGGGAAGCAACGGTGGTTATATTGAGCATCGTTTTAATGGTGCCTTTTTCGCTCACGAAATCCATGTGCCAGGCTGGGGGCGGCCTGCGGGAGCTACTGGAGCGTGACGTAGGCTCGAAACTCTCGGGTCGCGGCTGAGGGGCCTCTACGTAGCACGTATGTGTCAAAGGGGGATGTACTCAAGTTGTGGCCTAGGTATTCTTGCATGGACAGCCAACAGGTTGCAGCGGCAGCCTCTCATGGGCACTTCCGTGCGCAAGCATACCCAAAGCAAGAATTAAGGGAGGCGTGTGTCCAAAAATTATTCGTGGCACATCCAAGAACTATGGGAAGACACAGACATGCACCTCTTGACCCCAAACATGGCAAAGGGACACGTTCATTGCAGGGTGTGTGCGTGTGACGAAGACAAGAAACTGGACCCCGACATGTTTTTTTGTTTGGTTCCCCTTAAAACAACCCCAAAACAAACCACTCGGAAAACGCACACTCGCGCACTCGCACAGACACACACGCACGCGCGCGCGCGCACACACACACACACACACACACACACACACACACACACACACACACACACACACACACACACACACACACACACACACACACACACACACTCACACACACACACACACACACACACACACACACACACACACACACACACACACACACACACACACACACACACACACACACACACACACACACACACACACACACACACACACACACACACACACACACACACACACACACACACACACACACACACACACACACACACACACACACACACACACACACACACACACACACACACACACACGCGCCCGCGCGCGCGCCGCGCGCGCGCATGCCGCACGCGCACGCGCCCGCGCCCGCCCCGCGCCCGCGCGCCCGCGCCCCCGCGCCCCCGCTCCCGCGCCCGCGCATGCGACCGCGACCACGACCACGACCACTCCCACTCCCACTCCCACGCCCACGCCCACGCCCACGTTTACGCGCACGCCCACGCACACGCTCGAATACGCACATGCACACGCACACGGACACGCACACGCGCACGCGCACGCGCACGCGCACGCGCACGCGCACGCGCACGCGCACGTGCACCCACACACACACACCAATTCAGGTTCAATCAACAGATTGGGTCTAGAGTAAGGTAGTTAGGGTTCCCTTCTCTGGAAATCAGTTTAAGTCTACCACTCCCTCTGTCCCCCCCCGACCCCCCCAAAGCGACGGGGACGACTCGAGGCTCGGCGGGGCTGCCGCTCTTGCGGTTCCTGAGCTGCTGCCCCCTTTCGCTCCGGAAGTTGAGGCGACTAGGGTGAGATCCGTTGGGACGCCCCGAGGAAATCGAAAACCGGGGGTATGTGGGGGGCCGAATGAGAGGGAGCTATATGGGCCTTGAAGTTGTTTCTTTTAGGGGGAGGGACCTTTTTGAGGGGGTTGATTGGGACATTTATGGTGGAAAGTTGGGCTGGGGTTCAGGGCAAATGGGCAATGGGTATATTTGTGATGGCTGAAAACCGGGCTCAAAGCGGAGCCGCCCAAGATGGCTTTGGGTTTGTGCAGCTCAAGTTGGCTCGGACACCGCTTTGGTTTCCCTTTAACGCGTCCGCATGAGGGCACCTGTTTGCACCAAGTGGGCAAAATCATGTTTGACCCCTCAAGAGTTTGTTCCACTCGTGGCTTCAAGCGCGATCCGACATCAATTCAACCCAGGGCCCAAAGCGAAGACCCATCATTGGGGACCCGGCCTCCGAAAGACACATGCCCGAAAGGCTGGGAAATGGTTCCCAAGGCCGTTTGCACAGGCTTGATCTGTTCCCCTATGACTTTTTACCCAGGAACGGATTTTGACACAGAGTTCTGAAGTGGAGAAAAGCACCGCACCCCCTGACCCGTTGTTTTTGTTTTGCTTGCTGGTTAGGACCCGGGAGCTGCGAGTATCATAGCATACAGGATGAGTGTCATTTCAATCAGACAGGCCAGCGCTCGAGCAGTGGAAAGGTCTGCAAAAGATGTTTCTTGACAAATTTGAACCCTGCGTGTATTGGTGTAGCATTTGTGAGCAATCTGGAAGTTAGTTTACCCAATTCTTCAAGCTTGCATATTTATGCTCAGGTGACAGGTTTTAGTTTGGAATACCTTATCTGGGGTAGGGCTGTATTCCTCAACTAGCTACGTCTTGGAGCGCTCACAGCGCTACTCACCGCGACAAACACGATATATTATATGACCTATTATATATTATCCTGAGCGATGAGCGCGAAGAGGACATTGAAGGAATTAATGAGACGTGCCATAAGGACCGAGCCTCCAAAAGTGCAGTTTCAATGGAAACCACCAGTAAATGCAACTTTGAAGGGAAATTCCAGTGACCCCTGTTAGATGAATCCCGCTGTTTGCGCCACTTTCAATATCGAGGGGATTGCGACTTGTCAAGCGCCGCCATTGGCCAGATGTCTCGTTTGGCCCAATTGTATGCTGGGCATGAAACACATAGGAAAAGACAGGGTGTGTCATTCGGCATTTGGGCATGTCTTCAACCTAGCACCTACAAGTTTTGGTTTGCCTGCAAAACAGGCACTCAAAGGGGATCGCCTGTTGCTGACCCAGCAACTGTGACAGTTTCTAGGTATTTGACTTGTCAACATAGCAGCAACTTGGCTATCTAGGCCTCAGTCGTCCAAAACCGACCTTTTCACCCTTTTTACCAATTTTTGTCTATGTTGAGTCGAGGTTCCCAGAGGTTTTCAACCTTTGTTGCTGCGCCCGTTGGGCAACTGAGAGGCACATCCTTTTCTAAGGGTTGATTCCCGATTCTTTTCAACCATCGTTCTTTTCAAGAAAGCAAGTGTTTCCGAAGGGTTTTGGGTGGCTTGAAATGGAAGGTACCCCTTGACCTTTGGGCGTCTTTGGGCGTTTGGTCAGGTCTGAAGATCAGCTCCAGCTTGGCGGCGCGCAGTTTGCCGTGCAGGCGGGGCCCGGGGGCCCGGGGGTTGGGCGCAGGGCCGGTTTGGGGCGGTTTTTCGGCCGGTGAGGGCCTCTGAGGCTGGTTGAGGTCCTGCACTTTGTACCTTTTTGGGGTTGTCTAGATCCCCCAGTAGTGCCCTTTTACCAACTTCTTTGGGGGAGGGTTCCCCTACTAAAATCGACTACAGAAAAAGGGTGCCCTTATTCTAAGCTCTCTACTGGAGGACCTAGTTGTAGTGGTACGCAGAAGGTTCAGATCTTCTTGCCATCCACTCGTTCGGCAGTGAGTTGTACTAATAGATATGAGGACTCACGGCAGTCGGCTGACAGTTCTCTCCTAGCTTGCTTTCTCACGAGGATAAAGTGGGTCATCATCCAACTATTGAAGTTGAACCAAAAAGAGCCACGTAGTCACTTGGTTACGTAGTCGCTTGGTATCACTTGGTTGTGCGGACAGACAGCAACGGACACCTTTTTGGGTGGCACTTGTGGGCTGCGCACACTTCGCTACTCTGCGCAAAAGCAGACTTGCCTGCAGTCCGTCCCACCATCTTCCGGGCCCCGGAACTGCGTCTCAGCATGAGGGGCTCCGTTTCAGGCTGTTTTGAAGGACAGCATGCGATCTCTGGAAGGGTCATGTTCATTCACACCGGAACAAACCGGTGTGCCTCTTTTTGGCAGACCCCCCCTTTTAGTTGGCGTGAAAGGAAAGAGCAGCAGCCCTTTTCGGAGGTTCCCCGATTGTTGAGCACAAGGTTTGTTCACTTTGTGTCGGGGGGGGGGTTGGGTCAAGTGTCTGGACAAAGCAACGACACGTCCGTACCCTCTGGGCAAGTTCTAGCGATGCAAGGGTTGCGACGTCACCAAGCAAATCCCTTGAAAAGTCCATCAGCTTCCCTTTTCCATTAAGTTTTCGGTGGGTGAATTACAATTCTCCCAATCTTTACCGCCTTTTCGGTGGGTGCATTAGACTTCTCCCAGACCAGCCTCCATATGTTTTTTTTTCCCCTGTTGGTTTTAAAGGGAATCTATCACTACTGGACATATTTTTTGTTCCCGGGGTCTTAACCAAATGGAAGCTCTGGCCCAAGCAAGCCACGCGGCGCGACTTCGCACTCGGGCCAGGCCGGTCCTTCCGAAGAGCTCGCCTTCGCGCGGCTGCGCGGGACGAGGGCCAGCAGCTTCGGCCTCCACGGCAGTCCGTTGCGGAATTGGCCCGGGAGCCCGGAGAAAAAACCAAGGTTTTAGAGCTTATGTTGTCATGGTTGTTGTTGGGAAACATGTTACATTTTTGCTTATTGTGGTTTAGTGGGAAATCCCCACTTGACTGCTCAAAACAGGTTGGCTGTGGTTGTCAAAACCAATCGGATCCCATTTTGGTTGGTAGGTGAATTCACCACCCATTTTAGTCTATTTTACTGGGAATTGGGATGTTCACTGGGGGTACGGGATTTTGACCCATGGCCATATGTTTTGGACGGCTCGGGTGTTGAGGTTGCCGTTTTTCCTGTGATTTCGGAAAAAGGCGAGGAGCATGGCTGAGAACTTTGGGTGGTTTGTTCTTGGCATTTGCTGCGACTACCAAGTTGCAACTGCTGGAAAGAGGCAAAGCTGTGGGCGTTTCGTAGACAAGGTCGTTGCCCACAGCCTTCTCAGTCCGCCCGCGCAATATAGTAAAAGTCCATGTTGCTTGTTTCCCGTTTAAAACCATCCCAGAAGAGGGTCCCTTTTAGAGACCCAGTTGGCCGTGAGGCTGGAGTTTGGCCGACTGAGCATTGTCCTTCTCTTGATGGAAAACAGTTTTAATGGCCCCAAAAAAGACGGGTAGATGGAATTGTTGGGGGGCGGGGGGAAGCAACCCCTCTGCTCCAAAAGGATGGGTAGATGGAAGTGGAAGGGTCCACCAACAGAAAGGAAGGGTAGATGGAAGGGTGAGCCAACCCTTCTACCCCAACAGGATGGGTAGATGGACGTGGAAGGGCCAAGACCAACCCCTCTACCCCAAAGAAACGAATACATGGTGGCCAACTCCGGACGGCTAAATACCGCGAAAAGACAAACCAACCCTCTTCTTCGGAAGGGTGGGTGGATGGAAGTGGAACTGTAATTCAACCCCTGTACCCCGAGATGCAAGTGGAAGAGCGCATCAAGCCAGCCACCGCATCGGTTTTATTATTTTGGTGCATTTTGCTTGGATGTTAGGATTTCAACTTTTTGCCAACTCATGGGTTTTCCGTATTCAACCACTAAAAGTTAGTCACTTTTAGCAGGGGAGCAGAAAGCAACCGAGTTCCCACCCAGGAATTAGTGCTCGTTTAGCCTTTTTTTGGGGGAGGGTTCCCCTACTAACATAGACTACAGAAAAAGGGTACCCTTATTCTAGCCTCTCTACTGCAGGACCTAGAAAACGGAGCCTTGGGCTGGCAGGTACTCCATCCTCCGCAACGGGCTGCAGGTGCTCTCCAACTCGGAGCTCATGGGAAGCGGCGCACGCTTCGGCCCAGGCCCGGCTCCTGGTGGATTTGGCTGTGGGTCAAAACCAATGGGATCCCATGTTGGGGTAGGTGACTTTCATTTGCTTAAATCAACTCAACAAAAGCTGCCAACGGACCTTTTTCCTAGGGTTCAAAGCTGAGTTAGTTCTCCTTGCTTTTCCCCCGCTGAAGCTAAGGGGTCGATGGGCCCCAAGCTCCGGGGTGGTTCGGAGCAGCTTTTAGGGCGCTCTTGGCGACACCTGGGCCTTGTTCCAACACGCATCAGGTATCTATCTCGCGGAGCGCGTGTCCACCGCACGGCACTACTGCAACGGCTTCGCCGGGAGCCGTTACAATGCCGGTCTTGGGGAGGCCGGCGACGTTTTCAACTTTTTTGGCTGGTCACACAGGGCTTCTTGAAGGATGTTTAAAGAAATCAGCCAAACAAGCTGATGTCTATAGATGACTCCCTTGTACAACAGGTTTTGGATGACATTGTTCCGAAATCTGGACATGGTTCTGTTTTCAGGCCAAGATAGTTGTTGTTTGACTTCTGTTTGCTTGCGTGTGCGTGTGCGTGAGTGTGTACTGTACGTGTTTTGCTCGCCCAACAGGACCATTGAATAGCACAAGCTCTGCATCGGAAAGCTCCAAGCAGGGTTGGTGCAGCTTTAGGCATGCGTGTCTACATGATGTTCAGAGATTGATGATTATCAAGCTGGGCAATGACCATGTCTCGGGCCATGAGCGCGAAAGGGCTGGGGGCTCAGAGTCTCATGGGGCTCTCAAAAAACGGCCTTTTTGGCGTTGCCTTCAAAAGGCGGCACCTTAAGCGGCCTTTAGAAGGGTCCAAAAGGGGGGGGGGTCATACTTCATGGCTGGACCTTTTGCTCAAAGATGAAGAGCACCCATATTTTTGGCAGCCCCTTCAACACGTTTTAGCCATGCAACTCACGACAATGCATGGCCGATTCAGAGGCAAAGAACTAAAAAACAACTTTGACAATGGCACATATGTGAGTCTCCCGCCATCCTTGCTGGTTCTCTGGGGAAACCATGATGGCTTTTGAAACCCCCCGATACCCCCGGGTTCATTCCCAACCCCCCTCAAACGATGCTAGCTCCACAATTCTCCAGGAAGTTGGGCACATACCCAGAACATCCCGAGCTTTCGGCTTCCCTTAGACCTTCCCATGTTTCCTAAAACGAGGTAACCCCCTTGTTGCCGGGTTTCAAATGGGTATGGGTCAAAACTAAAGCATCAGGGGACCGCAGATTTTGGTCCATGTTTCCTCTTCCCAGGGTTCCATTTTGGGTACCGATTTTTGACCCACAGCCAAATTGAGGGGACCCCAATTTTAGAGTACCCCCAGACAACGAGCAGCCAGTAATCTACGACTCAGGCGCTGCAAGTCCTGGCCGTCGTGGAGTACGTCGACGATCCCGTGCTGCGCAAGCGACACAGCGAGGGCATCGTCACGGTGTCGGACCACGCCGTCCTCGCCTCAGCTTTGACGCGTGCCGGGCCGAGTTGGCTGGAGGTTTCGACTGCAACCTTTTTTGGAAAGTAATGCCCTGTCCCAAAAATTCATGCTGACCCCAGATTAATCAACCCCTGTTTATTAATCGGGGGTGTCCATTTCTGGGTGTAATTAGTGGGAAATCATCACTTTTGGAAGGGATCACCCCCATATGAATATACTGGGGTTGATGAATATGGGGTCAAGATTGCCCTGACTCCTGGGCGACACCTCACCAAGGCCCCAAAAGATGGCCAGTTTCCTTTTTTCTTTCCGTTGTACAACCAAAAGGTGTTGTTTCATCTAAGACCGACATCCTTTTCGGTGAGCAAATCCGTGGCTTGTTTTTTCTCTTTCAAAGCTGCAAAGGGTACCTACGAAAACGCAAACTGAAGAGGGGTCCGAACAGAACAAGTGTAAGTATCCTTAAACCAACCGAAAGGGCAAGGTAGGTCTGGATAGTTACTCACATTCTTATCGTATGAGCATGACCTATTCTTTTTCCAAGCACCCCATACCCCCATGCTAATGATTCAGTCCCTTGCGTACCCTCCAAGAGACCTGAGCGCCCAAACCCTCCAAAACCTCCAAAGGGGCCAACATTTTGTTGGTGGTTCTACTTGGTTTAGTAGGGATTATAGTAGCCCCTTTAAAATACCGTAGAACCTTTATAGCCTTCCTGAGTTTACAGGGATACTTTACAGGGATACTTAGGAAAGTTATAGTAGCCCCTTTAAAATACCGTTCCCTTTAGTAGAACCTTCCTGAGTTCCTGAACTTTAAAATTTCGGGAAGACCATTTTGGCGGTAACTGAACCGTTTGGACTTGTTTGGCCCATACACGCAGGAAATGAAGCCAACCGTCAATGGCTTTGGGCGCTGGCTGAGGCAGTGGCTTTGCGGTACATCCTGGTGTACAGCCGCTTGGCAGCTCGGGGTACTTTGTTCGCCCATGGAGTTCTCCGAAAAGCTCACCAGGGAGGGGGTCCCCCCCCCCTAAACCACAATTTAGAGAGAGAGAGAGGGGGTAAGTCTGAGGAGTGAATGTGTTGGGGTTCTGAAAATTACTTTCGCTGTGGGCACTTTTTGATCACCATGGAGAGGTGATGCTGAGGATGTCTTACTAAAATGGTCCCGAGTGTCAAATTGGAGAAATGCGTGGTTCTGCACAATTTATAACGAATGGTCTCTGCTTTTCGCATGGGACAGTTCAGGAATCGAGGGTTGGAGTCAAGTACAGGGAATTTGTTGTGTTTTTCACATGGGACACTTATGTTGGAAGGATCCCGTTGTTGGACGTGACTTGCATGATGTGGCCGCTGGCTTTTCTGAGGTTTGTCCAGTGTTCAACCGATGTCAGATCGCTTGGATGTCGACAAGGCAGTGAGGGATGCTCCGCGGAGGGCTGCAAGATCAATGTCTGAACATAGATGTCAGGGGTCTTCATTTTGTACATGTCCCGGCCAAGTTTGACCATGGTTTCTCTGAGTGGGCAATTTGTTGTTTTGGTTAAAAAAGAGATAGAAAAACAACTAGTCCGGGGTGGCCTTGTGACGCCTTTGCACGCCTTCGTGATTGTTCCTCACCGCGAACTCGGCGACGGCCAGGTCAGGCTCCATCGATCACAGCTGCTCCAAGAATTGGCCGGCGAGAAAAGGTGCCCGCGTCATCGCTCCGGTCGAAAGCTACCAGATGGTCCACCCATACTGTGGATGGACGAACTGCACCACTTGGAAACAACGGTTGAAACCATTGTTTGTATATTTACAGGAGAATCATCATTCTAGGGTTTCTTAGATGGTGCAGGATTTCGTCCATCCACAGTAGTTCGCTTCCCTTGGATGCCAAGGGTGCTTTGCCCGCAGTTCTTGGGTCCTGGTTTCGCAATTGTTTTTGTAGAAATCTCCTTACCCTTGCATTTCTATTTAGTGACGTCCGACCATCTCTTCCTCTGGCGACTTCCAGTTCCTGCCCTGCTTGGCCCTTTTCTCATCTGAGAGCATGGGGAGCCCCGCCGCGCCGCCATTTTGGGAGGATAGCGTCCCCCCCCTTTCGACCGATACGCAGACTCTGGCGTCATGGCGCGCGGCTCCTCGACTCTGCTCCGCGTCGCCGCGGCGGCAGCGCTCTGCGCGGTGCCGTGCTTCGTGGTGCCAAGGAGCAGCAACAGCCAGCCGCAGCGACCGGAGCTGAGGCGAAGTGTGGCTCACTACCTGGGTTGAACTTGATCAGACTGGGTAAGGCCAGAGCATTATTCAACAGATGATTTTTTTTTCATGCTTATGTAGCTTTAATGACTCTTTATGATGTTTATGTTAATCCAAGCTATTCATGGCTATGGTAGGCCGGTCATGGCTCCTTTTTCGTCGAGCTCGGCCACCTCTGAAATCGGCACCGTGCGGTTCGGTTTGCCCAGCAAGCTGAGAGCCGGTTTGAATGACGCGAGGAAGGTTCATAGATCCCGGACGGAGAACTTGAACGAGAAGTTAGGGTTCCTACTTTCCTTACCAAGTTAGTAGGTGGTGAGCCCACTTGAGTTTTTTCCACCCCCTAATAACAAGGCGGGTCAACCCCACTGAAGGGGGGACAAAAGTGGATTGTCTAACCTGGGTTAACAACGAACATCCAAATACTAGGAACACCATGACAATGGCTCGCACTTTCGTTGAGTTTTGACCATGGCACACACTGTATGATCGGTTTACTTGCCAGCATCATGTTGATGTTCCTTCAAGCCAAGCTGTAGAGCGTATTGCCCGAGGCTAATTCTTTGATGACTTCATTTGGCTTGAAAGTACCCCACAAGCATTCCAATTCTTCATCCTTTGATAGCGGATGAAGGCTGTGGCAAGAACAATCCCCTTGCCCTTAACTAGGTGCGGCCTGTTTTGCTATTCTCATTTCAAAGTACCCCACCCCATTGAAATCACTCCTAGGTCCCCCAGTAGTACCCTTTCACCCTTTTTTTGGGGAGGGTTCCCCTACTACAATAGACAACTGAAAAAAGTTGGTACCCTTATTCTAACCTCTCAAATCTGGAGGACCTAGACTCTTTCCCCCCAAACATGCACCCACATTGCATTGGCCAGGGCGCAGCAGCAGCTGTCGCACTTGGCGCAGCCAGGGGCTGCGGCAGAGGCTGCAGCACCCAGCGCCTTCTCAGGCGCGGTTGGGTGCAGCGAATGGGTTGTTTGGTGCATGTTGCTTGGATGTTAGGACTTTAACTTGTTGCCAACTAATGGGTTTTCCATTAAACCACTAAAAGTTAAACTTTTAGCAGGGGAGCAGAAAGCAACCGAGGGTTTGTGTTTCTCTATGCGCTTACCAGAGCTTCGATACTATCCCCATACGTACGCTTATTGCTGAACATGGGGAGTCGCGGCCGGGCCAACTTGACCTGCCGCAGTCATGTGAATTTGTTTGTTTCTTGTCAAGGTTCGGAAACCCTTGTTAGGAAAGGGAATCCTCACTCGGAACCGTGCATTTTTGGGTCCAAATCCCTCCTGTGGATGGACGAAATTTGTTCGCACCATTTGGAAACCATGGTTGAAACCATTGTTTGTTGTTGTTTACAAAGGAATCGTATCATTCCAGGGTCTCTTAGGTGGTGCGAAATGGATTTCGTCCATCCACAGTATTTGTGCAACTTGAAATACAGGGAAAACAACACCATGAGGGTCCGTTGGCTTAGCTACACGGGAGTTCCTCAAATCAACAGGCCCGAAACAGGATCTTTGGAACCACACCCTTTTGAAAGGAAAGGACATGAAGGTTGTTTGGAGAAAGGGCGGGATTTTAGCAAAGGGCAGCTAAGGTGACTGTAAAGCAAGCGGGAGACACTGGGTGGTTCATTTATGTGAACATATATGTATACATGTTCTTTGTCTTTGTTATTATGTGTCTTATACATATATATATATATAGAAACATATGGTCAGACCACCCCCCCATGATGTACCTTCCCTTCCCCTGCATCAAACAACACTGGAAAAAAGTGTTTTGTAGCATGTGCATATCGATATATACACACTCCCCTGCAAATGAACCTGGAACCCACACACGCGGTCCGATTCCAAAAGGAGATCCCTCTAGAAACGTTGGGTTTTGGAGAAGGCCATCTTAATTTGCACGTCAATGCGGGTTCTACGTTGGTTAGGGTGGTTTAAAGAAAATGTGCTTACAACGGTTTTATATCTTGTTCGCCGTTCGCCCTATTCGATTAACCAGCATGATTTAGGACATGGTCTGATCCGCGAAGCGTTTCCCTCCTTCAAGCATCTGACGCAGTTCTTTTTCTGCGCAAAGTCAGAGGCTCCACGCTGATCACGGCGGGGCTCTTCACTGCGCGCAGCATGGTCAGCGTGTGCGCCACCGTGATGAAGGCCAAGGCGCACGGAGCCGATGTTCGCGAAACCGGCGATGTCAGGTGAGCCACAAAACCCGGATAGATGAAGGTAGCAAGGGACAATCCCAACCATGAATAGCTGCGGCCGCCTTCTTAATTCTTTGCATGGTGCTGGGTAGACCATGTAAATACCGGGTTTTGATTTTGACTCAGGTTCCGAGAAGTTTGTGAGGGTGGTACTGGTCAAAGTCAGTCACCAGGGGACCGCAGGTTTTAGTTCTCTTTTTCCATTTACCAGGGTTCCATTTGAGTTTCCTATGATTGACCCAGACCCAGCTATCTAATCATTTCAAAGTAGTGAAGTGAGTGATCAAGATGATCAAGATGTTGGTTCTGCCAGAAGCGGCAGCTTTGGCGTCTTGGTTGATGAGTTGCTCCAACCCCCAAGGGCCCAAGGCAAACATTTTTTTTGAGTTGGAAAGTTGGAACCCCAAGCTGAACGGAGATCCCAACTGGTTCACCGAAAGGAGCTCCGATCCCTTCCGGTTGGGTGTCCCAAAAAAGGTCGTTTGATTCCGTACGCACCAGCAGGCTCCAAAGATTTAGGTATACACTTGTCAGGCTTGGTATGTCACTTGGCTCAGAAGGTGAGCGGAACATAGCACCGTTGGCAGCAACTATCACTGATACGCGTCCCTTGTCACTTGGCATGACACGAGTACCAGTCAATGCTTTCTATCATCCACTGTAAAGGGGATCAGATGGGTTAGGCTCTGCACATTGCCAGTAGGAAATGGTTACAACTTACAACAAACAACATCCAACATCATTGGTGGACACAATGAATATGGACAGCTCACTTATCTCGGCCTGGCCCTCCTTGTCTTGACACCGGTAGGGAGTTGCCATTCCCCAAACTGGTGGTTTGGTGGTTTTCCGGCCGAGGGCTTTCCCTGGTTGCAAGGCATCACCAATCCAAGCCAAGGCGCGAAAAGTGGATCTCGCAGAGAAACCGTGGGGTTAAGCGAAGTCCGTTGAAGTGACATCCTCACAATGACCCAAGTGGTGGTTTGAAGGGAAACAACCCCAAAAGTAGTTTGCGAACCCCTTGCAATGTTCACCTTGAGTCAGTTTTCAAGAGTCGATTCGCAAAAGGCAAGTGAGACACTCTCGTCCGTCCATTGAAAAGCGAGGGTCCCTCTTGCAGCTCTCCCACCAAAAGACAGCATTGGAGCCACACAGCAACCTCGGGGGTTATAGTTGGCTGAAAGTAGATGGTAAACTTCCATGTCGGTTTCGCCATCTTGAGTCTTTACATATTTTCTGCTGTCTACTTCACACCCTTAACTAATAATGCTAATAATAACTGAGAATAATATAATCATAGTAATAATAATAGTAATAATAATACCATTAATAATAATACTAATAAAAATAATCATAATCATAGTCATAATCATAATAATAATCATAATAATAATCATAATAATAATCATAATAATAATCATAATAATAATCATAATAATAATCATAATAATAATCATAATAATAATCATAATAATAATCATAATAATCATCATCATAATACTAATACTAATAATAATAAACAAAAATAATAATAATAATAGTAACAATAATAATAATAATAATAATAATAATAATAATAATAATAATAATAATAATAATAATAATCATAATAATAATAACAATAACAATAATGATAATAATAATAATAATAATAATAATAATAATAATAATAATAATAATAATAATAATAATAATAATAATAATGGTAATACTAATACTAATAAATAATAGTAAATCATAATAATAAAAATGATACTAATAATAATGATTATAATAATAATGCTAATTAATAATAATAATAATAACAATAATAATAAGTATTTTGAAGCACGGCGGCTCGCCATGTCAGGCGCCGGTGAGCGAGTTCGGAGCGCCCAGCGGGGTGCGGAACTTCCAGGAGATGGCGCTGGGCTTCACCTCGGATATCGCCAAGAACAACCTGGGTGAGTCGTTCTACAGGCCATCGATATCTGGGTCAAAACCAATGGGGGGTGTTCGGTGCACCACCCATTTTAGAGCCTATTTTAGTGGGGATTGGGATGTTCACTGGACGGGGTTTTGACCCATGGCCATATAGGGTCTGGGTCCAACATAGGAAACCCAAAATGGCTTGCCCACTGGTAAATGGAAACCTGAACTAAAACTTGCGGTCCCCTGATTTGTTGTGTTTTTTTTGCAAACCTTTAGGACAATAATTCCTGCTGCTTCTTCCCCCCCCCCCAACAGCTGAAAGCAATGGGGTCTCTGCCCAGATAGGCTCTGGGTTGGTTTGGTGCAACTTTCAGGGAGGGTTCAAAAGGGTTCCCATCCTCAGAATGGGGCTGGGTATATTTCCTGGAGTCTTACCTGGGTTTCGGGGGTCCTCCTCAATCGGTTTTATGAGAGGGGGGGGGTCTTGTTTGGAGGACCCCTTCACAATGGCAACGGTTTCCCTGTAGTTTCCCTTTCAAACCAACCAAAAAGGGTACCAAGCAAAAACGACGAGCCCACAGGCAATAGGATCAAGTCTCAGTTTTGGTGCACAGAGTTGGGCTGCGGGAACCGCGGAGGCTGCAAGACATTGCTTCCATGTGATGCTCCATCTACCATTGGAACCTTGTTCAATTGGCTACGAATATGAGGAGTCGGAGCCGCCTCAGTGGTTGGTGGACATCAATCCCCACCTAAACAATCTGAAACAAGTGGCTACTTGGGGGTGCTGAGCCCGGTGAAAGGCCGTGGGTGCCGTTCATTAGCACCATCTTCCTCTTCATCTTCGTGAGCAACTGGTCCGGCGCGCTGATCCCCTGGAAGATGTTCGAGATCCCGGCGGGCCTCTCGGTGCCCAAAAACATACGGGGGAAGGGCGACGGGAAGAAACGAAAAGCACCAGATGGGTCAAGGCCCAAATCCCGATTTTGAGAAATCTCATTCCCCCATAGGGTTGTTTTTTCCTTCCACCAGGGGGAGAGAGGCAAACTCACCAGCAGGAGGGAGGTAATGAGATATCTGGAAAGCCCAGCGGTGCTGAATTTCTGCCGCTGATTGAAATTGCACTATTTTTTGCTGTTGCTGCAACAAATCGCTTTTTGACCCCCAAAACGCCGTTGGAGCAATTCGTTAATATTCAAGGACTGCTGTGAACGGCCAAAACCGCCGTTCGATTGCCAAAACACGCCGTTTGATTGGCGAAAAACGCCGTTGGTAAAATTCAGTCGACCAGCTTGACCTTGTAAAAAGTCAGTTTCCCCTAAAAATGCCTGGAGGTAGAAGTTCATGTTCCCAGACTGAAGAAGCAGTTTTCGTTCAAAAGGCGGAAATTTTACACACCTTGGGATTCCCAGGTATGGAGATTGAGTTGCTGAGGGAATACCATTAGCTGAAATTTAAATGCAGCATGGGAGATGAGGGGGCTTTATGTTGTTGGACAGTAGTTGGCCGAAACATGATACTACTGTGGATGGACAAAATCGTGCACCAGTTGTCAAGTGGTTTATCAACAAATTGTTGTAGGGCTTCATCCATCCCAACGGTGGTGCGTTGGATGGATTTCGTCCACCCACAGTATGTCATTTCTTGTTCGGAACCGTACCAAGCAGCTCTATGAGTTGGCCTTCCTTCTGTTTCCGTCAATGGAAAGCCCTGTCTGTGGGTTGGCAATTCCTCTCCTGCAAACTCACATGGAGCCCAGAAAGGGTGTCCCCAAAAAGGAGACTCCGTTCCTAAAAATGGGTGGCGTTTGGAATCTGCAGGAACCAAACCCCCACCTTGCCCAACTCCTTGACGTGTCTACCTTTCCCATTTCCTTGCCGGGTCGGGTTGCCTGATCCCCAGGGCGGTAGACCGGAAGTTGTGTCCTGTTTTCCCCCCCCTCCCCCCCACCCCCTTCTCGCCGAGTCTTTGGCTCCATTGGGAGGCACCGGGGGGTCTGACTGTGTCCTCTTGCTCGATTCCGCACCTCAGGTGTCTCACCCCGCCATTTTGGGCGGGGGCTAAATCCGTAGTTGGGTCTGGCTTTTCTTACGGGGCCCTCAAAAATCGTGGTTTTGCTACTGGTTTCTCTTTAACCCCCCCAACAACAGGGCCCCTCAAAAAAAGCACCCATTTTGACACATGCCCATAGACCACCCCCTCGAGCTGGCGAGGTCAAACCCATAGGTTCCGCGCCGATTCCCTCAGAGTTCCTTGAGGCTCGGCACCCTTGGGGTGGAAAACCAAAGCGAAACCCGCCATGTCCCGCTATGACACAGACCCACATATTCTTCCCACAACCCCCCCACCCCCATTGTTGGGATTTGGCTAAATAGGGTATCCACAGTGTTTTCCTTTGAAAGCAAGCCAAAACGGGGTTCCCCCCAGAGCCCCACCCAAATGGGAGACCCCCAAAACAAAACCATGCATCCAAGCGCCCATGGATTTCCACTGGATCCAAACTGCCGATGTCGAGCCCAGGTGAGTTGGCGGCGCCCACCAACAACATCAACACCACGGTGGCCCTGAGCTTGTTGACCTCCTTGGCCTACTTCGGCGGGGGCTTGGCGAAGAAGGGCCTCGGCTACTTTGCCAGGCGCGCACATGTCGTAGAGGAGACGACTTGTCACGCGTAGACCCGGTCAAACGCCGAGAAAGATGCGCGAGAGACCCTGAGCCCCCTCTAGTTTCTCATGTCCGTTGTGGAAATGTTTTTCATTGTTCCAGGCTACGGTCGACGGACCGTGTGATTCCCCCCCCTGAAGGTGTTTTCTTTTTCGCGTCACCTTTTGGACCCCGCTTTTTTTTTGGGCCGGCCGGCCCCTCTGAGTCGGGCCGCCGCAAGCTTGCGGCAGGTATGTGAAGCCCACCCCCATCTTGCTGCCCATCAACATCCTGGAGGACTTTACAAAGCCGTCGCCTGGATTTCTTTAGCGGACTCGACACCTCTTGGATGGGTCCACGAAAAATGCACGTCGCACCACCCAAAAAAGGAATGAAGCCATCGGTGAAACCGCTACGTTTGTTGGTATGTACAGGGGAATCGAATCGGTCCGAGTTTTGTTTTGGGTGGTGCAGGATGTCGTCCATCCACAGCAGGTGTCCTTTTTAGGGTAGTTTGGTTTGAAATAGATGGCACTGGTTCAGTTTTTTCTTCTTTTTTTAACCAGGGACACCCATTTGTTTCACCAAAAGGACACCTGTGCTCTTGGTGGGTCAAATCGGGTTTGGCCGCACAACATTTTACCTCAGGATAGATGGAATTGGGAACTGACCGCAACATTTCTTAAATGACGAGCCTTCCCGTTCCTGGGTGTGGGGGTCCCCCAAAATGGGTGTTTTGTTTGGTTTCCCTTTAGAACCCCCTGAACCCTCAGACAACAGACAGACTAACATCGACTCCGTCGAGTGTGCAGCAAATGGGTCTCTGACGAAATTTAAAATGTTTACCCCGAGAAACAAGATTTCGGGGTCCTGGTCCAAATATTTGTGAGGTATACCCCAACTGGATTTCTCCCATGGAATGGATGAAACCCTCTGGGACATGTTACCCTGTTCAGCTTTGGGTAATGCTAAACACTAAACGCAAAGATGTTGTTGGGACCCGGGTGCTGGTTGAACTTCCCGTTTTCTAGTTGTCTTTTTTTCTCAGTCAAAGGACCAAGCATCTGAGTTGCAGATAGGACAGGAAGCCACAGACCACAGCTGCTCACCGATGTCGAAGGTCTGAATTGCGCAGTCCTAAGAAGTTTGTCTGCATTGTGGGGTAGGGAAACCCACGGAAAAAGCGCAACAACCATTGTATTGAGTTGTTTCATGCTCATGTTTCCGACACACGTTCTTTCAGACCTCAAACAGACATACCCCAAAGTCAATGGTTGTAAAAGGGTCATACAGGGTTGTACAGGAGCCATCCAGGGTACATACCAAAAAACACACACACACACACACACCCTTGTGCACGGCGTATAGGTGGGGTGTGTCCTTTTGATTAGTGCTCAAAACCCACATTGGCTGCTTTCGACCGGAGCCTCTACTACCTGGTTTTATGGGGGCTCATAGTAAGGCATGTGTAAACCTTTGTAGCCAAAAAGCACCAAGCATCCATGGGTTCTGAGGGCTGCTCATTCGGGGGCAATTATGTGAGTAGGGGCTCAGAGACCCCCGTTGCAGGCTCAAACTAAAGTTGGGGCGGGTCAGATCCTAAAAATTGTCATTTTAGTCCAACCCGCTTTTCCTGTTAAGCTCATTTGGGCCTCTGTGAGAAACTCTTCAAAATTGGACTGAGTTCATTTCAAATTAGCATGAGTTTGGCAAGGCTGTCTTTGAGCTTCCGACTCTTCGGAAACGTGGTGGCGGACGAGCTTACTGTGGGCGTGGCTCGGTCGATAGATTGGGTGCGCATGGGCCTCGTTTCGCGTGGGGCGCGTCTTTGAAGAGAAGACCCAAAACGGTGGGTGCTCCCCTTCAAATTCACGGGACACCCAACAAGGAGGTTCATCAAAAGGCGATTCCTCTACACATGGTACCCTGTGGGGTTCCACATTGATTGGCATAGGTGTATTCCGTTTAATCTCCCTTGAAACCATCTCGTTAACAGATACAAATATAAGCGTCTTTCCTGCCAGACCAAAAGGAAAGTCATGTTCAGGTGGAATATAGTGAACCCTTGTGCATTCACTTTGATTTTCCTTTAATAAACACATCCCCGGAAAAGGTACGCTTGAGAAAGGACACCTCATTCAGCAGAGGAAGGCAGGTGTGGTCTGGGGGCAGTGTCAGAGCTTGTAACAAAGGTTCCTTAAGCGCCAATTCGGGTATGTTTATCTGATGCTTTAGCCGCTGTCATGTCTTTCTTGCTTTCTTTCTTCCTTACTTCCTTCCTCCTTCCCTCCCGCTTCCTTTCCTCATTTTCTTTGTCTCTGTCTTTGCATTTATGTTCATATCTTCTCCTTTCGAAATGCGCCCTGCGGGGATTGCGTGTTTGGCCAGTTTCTGTAGAATCCCCTTCAACGTGAAGTCATATGGCCCACCTTGGTATCAAGACCAAATATCGCCATGCCAGGGCCCCTGCTCAGCATGGTCCTTCTGAACGACGGGTCAGTTTCAATTGCCCCAACGGGTAGACGGAACTGGGTTCAAGCGACCCCTCTATTTCTTTCAATTTGGCGAGCCCTTGGACCGTTCCACACGAACCGAACCCCGGCGTTTTTACAGCCCCCCCTCTTGGGTGGGTTTTGCTTTTGGGATTTCCTTTTGGATTCCCAAAGTCAACTTTTACAGGTGAGTCACGTCCTAAGCAAATCGGGATGGGATAGCTCAATACGGATCTCCATCAAAATTATGATTTCTAGATTTTGAGTAGAATTCTTCACCGACCGGAATTGCTTTGGATGCATGGTTGGGAGGCGTGGGGGTCAGTCAAGGCTGGCGACTCACTCGATTTCCACCGCACACACCAGACTAGCACTTCCTCATTTCGTTTTTTGGCCTCGGTCCATGCGGCACATGGTCTATGGCCCCCCTTTGGGGTCATCGACTTTGCTTGTGACGGCGCTGTACGGTCGGGCGGCTCACGGGTTTGGGGCCAGAGGCGGTTCCAACCTTTTGATTTACGGGCTTTCAGGTTTTGCGGACCCCCCAATGGTTTTCGGTGTGTACCTCTTGGTTTTCCATCCAAACCCACCTAAGAAGCTAGGCGCCAGCTCGACCAGCCACCCCCTTTTTGGGACTCACCGAGAAAATCGGCTGAGGTGCTGTGCTTCTTGGTGCCTTTCGTCATCCCTTTGCCCATCATGGGCCTCGGCCTCTTTGCCGGCTCCATCCAGGCGCAAGCTTCGCTTCCGCCGGTCGCTCTTTTTGAAACAGTAGAAGGAGACCAGTCAAACCATGGCTTACATACATACACACACACATACAAACACAAACACAAACACAAACACGAACAGAAACACAAACACAAACGCAAATACACACACACATACACACGTACACACATGCATGCACACATGCATACATGCATACATGCATACATACGTACATACATACGTACGCACGCACGCACGCACATAAATACATACACACGTGCGTACGTACGTACATACATACGTACGTACTTACGTACAAACGTACATACACACATACATGCATACACATTCACACACACATACATACATACATACATACATACACGCACATACACACACATACACACACACATACATGCACACACACGCAAACACAATACACACATACACACACATGCACACATACACACACACATGCATACACAGATACACACCTAGACACGTACAGGCGTACAGACGTACATACGTACATACCTACCTACTCACCTGCATACAGGCATACACGCATACACACATACATGCATACACGCCTACACACATGCACACATACTCACATCCATACAAACATGCATGCATACGTGCATACATACATACATACATACATACATACATACATACATACATACGTACTTACGTACATACATACATACATACATACATACATACATACATACATACATACATACATACATACATACATACATACATACATACATACATACATACATACATACATACATACATACATACATACATACATACATACATACATACATACATACATACATACATACATACATACATACATACATACATACATACATACATACTACATACATGCATACATGCATGCAATCATGGATACATGCTTCCATGCTTCCATGCCACCATGCAAACACAGACAGACAGACAGACAGACAGACAGACAGACAGACAGACAGACAGACAGACAGACATACCTACATACATACATACATACATACATACATAGATACATAGATACATAGACACGTAGATACATACATGCATACATACGTACATGCATACATACGTACATGTATATATATACATACATAAATACATCCATCCATGTATCCAGTGCACAACACATGTAGGCATATGTTATACATATATAGTTACAGATCAACCACAAGGTACCGCTTCAAATGTTTGGCTGCCCAGACCTTGCCCCGCCCCCAGGAAACCACCAAAAATAACCAGGATGCCAGCAACCCGGACCACACCAGAAACCCTCAGGACAAAACACCGGACGGACACCACAAGGAAGCCAAGCCAAACAGCACCATGTTCTTAAAGTCAAAGGCAGGTTCCTTTTGCTTTGGTGCATTTTGCTTGGATGTTAGGACTTTAACTTTTTGCCAACTAATGGGTTTTCCATTAAACCACTAAAAGGTATACTTGTCGCAGGGGAGCAGAAAGCAACCGAGTTTCCACTGGGCTCGGGCCCGCTAGGCCTTGATCTTCTCAACCTTGGCGGCAGCCTACATCCACGAAGCCTTGGAGTGAGGAGATCCAAATGGGGGAGCCTTGGCAGTTGTCAGGTTTTAGGGGGCCGATCAAAATCAAAACGGCGCCTTACAACCTGAAGTTTATCAACGACCCAGGGCTTCAGTTGGGTTTTTCTCCGTGGGGATTATTTCCGCCCTCTTGGGGTTTTGAGGCAAGTGGGGTTTGCCTCTTTTTTGTCTTCATTCTTTGGGGGTCGTTTGTCAACAAAACCCAGTGGTGCCTCCCTTTTTGGGTTTCCCTTCAAGTCTTGGGTTGGACACTTGGATGGTTATGGCCGCAAGACCACTTTTGGGGCTTGCAGTGTTGTCTTGTGTTTCTGTGGAGGGTTCCGTTTAACGTCAACGCCCGTTTTTGCGGTGATATTTTTTTTCCTCACGGCCACTGGTCTGGGGGCAAGGTGAGAAGAACACCTTTCCCTTGGTCCAAACGTGTACCAGAGAGAGAGAGATACAGCGAATCCAGCCAAAGGTGAGCCATCCAAGTCTCAAACCTTTTCTTTTTTTCCGGGCGGAATCCTCTTGGCCTCAAACCCAACCAAAGGAGGGCCTCAGAAGGTTTCGGACCATGGGAGATTCAGCTGAACAAAGTATGGGCAAAAATAAGGACCAGAAGCCTTTCCATGACTCCCCTGTTTGTGAATCAATGTGGGCGTGTCTCTTTTTGAGGATTTGGAGCTCCCCAAATGCTGGGTGTTCCTTTCAGTGTTCCTTGAAAACCAACAAAAAGAGGGTTTCCAAACAAAGATGAGCCACCCATGGCCACCCATATTGGAAACAAGACTGCTTCGGTTACAGAGTCGGCTTTGGCCATTGCTTCCTACCTTTGAGCAATATGACTCGACTTTTTCCGGTAGCCTATGGTCCATTTGGGGTTCGGGGCATGGGGGAACACTTTAAGTTTCCTACAAACACCAACAACTCACCAAATGTCCGCTTGCTCTTTTGGGGCGAACAAGCAAGCTTGACCGTGGCCATCTGCAACTGGCAAGAGTATTGGCCAATTTTCGTGGTCATTTCCAAGGCCGGGCTCGCCCAATCTTCCCACGCACCATGAAATAAACCACCTGACTGCGAAATGGATTTTGTCCATCAGCACCCATCAAAAGGGCCCCCGTACCTCAGAACCTCTCACGAATCTCCAGGTCCTGCCATCGTCTACCCTTAGGTGGTCTGGATTGCTTGATTTGAGCCCATTTCGAAACCAAATGAGGAAGGTTTCAAACCAGACCACCACCAACTAGTCGAGGGGTGAATCTGAGGTCATTATTTGACGGTTTCTGGGGTCAAAGTCAGACATTGGGGCTGTTTCCCTTTAACCTACCGAGGGGGTGACTTTGATGTAGTGGGGCCAGTGGAGGTTTATGCTGGTCGACCATTTTCTTCGACTGACAGAGGGTAGCCCTGACAACCAGCAGTCCAAACCAACTATCGCTCTTAGTCATGTACATGATTCATGGTTGACAACGCTCAAGCGTGTGCACCAACGGAGCATCGGCATCTTCGCCTGCGGAGATCTTATATTTCATATTTTAGTGCCTCCGGCTCAGGCCGCCGACATTACAGGCCTGCTTTCTTATTTGCGTCCCTTTGGAATTGTCCCCTTGCCCCCTTCCCCTCTGAGATTTTTGCCCCCCTTTCTTTGTTGAGATCCATTCCCCCTTTCCGCCCGAAGGCCTTTTCTCCCTCTGTTTTTTTCCCTTTTCCTCCCTAAGATGTTTTCACCCCTCTCCCTGTTGAGATCCTTTCCCCCCTTTCCCCCCTAAGGCCTTTTCCCCCCTGAGATCTTCTCCCTTTGCCTCCCTAAGATCTCCCAGATCGTCTCCCTTTCAGGGAGAAGATCTGGGAGAAAAGGACTTAGGGGGGAAAGCCCAACAGGGAAAGGGGGGAAAAGATTTAGGAAGGAAAAGGGAGCAGCTCTCAGGGGGGGGAAAGGCCTTAGGGGGGAAAGGGGGAAAAGGATCTCAGCGGGGGGGGGGAAGATCTTAGGGAGGAAAGGGAGAAGATCTGGGGACAAAGGCCTTAGGGGGGAAAGGGGAGAAATGATCTCAACAGGGAAAGGGGTGGAAAAGATCTTAGGGCGGAAAGGGAGAAGATCTGGGAGAAAAAAGGCCAACAGGGAAAGGGGGGAAAGACCTAAGGAAGGAAAAGGGAGAAGCTCTCAGGGGGGGGAAAGGCCTGAGGGGGGAAAGGGTGGGAAGGATCTCAACAGGGAAAGGGGGGAAACAATCTTAGGAAGGAAAGGGAGAAGATCTGGAAAGGCCTTAAAGGGAAGGGGGGAAAGGATCTCAACAGGGAAAGGGGGCAAAGGATCTTAAGGAGGAATAGGAAGAAGATCTCAGCGGGGGGAAAGGCCGTAGGGGGGAAAGAGGGGAAAGGATCTCAACAGGGAAAGGGGGGGAAAGATCTCAGTGAAAAAGGGAGAAGGTCCCAGGCAGGGAAAAGGCCTTAGGGGGGAAAGGGGGAAAGGATCTCAACAGGGACAGGGGGCAAAGGATCTTAGGGAGGAAAAGGGAGAAGATCTGAAAAGGCCTTAGGGGGAAAAGGGGGAAAGGAGCTCAACAGGGAAAGGTGGGAGAAGATCCTAGGGAGGAAAAGGGAGAAGATCTCGGGGGAAAAGATCTTGGGGAGGACAAGGGAGAAGATCTCAGGGGGGGGAAGGCCTTAGGGGGGAAAGGGGGGAAAGGATCTCAACAGGGAAAGGGGGCAAAGGATCTTAGGGAGGAAAAGGGAGAAGATCTTGGGGGGGAAAACGCCTTAGGGGGGAAAGGGCGGGAAAGGATCTCAACAAGGAAAGGGGGGAAAAGATCTTAGGAAGGAAAAGGGGGAAGATCGCAGGGGGAAAAAAGGCCTTAGGGGGGAAAGGAGGGAAAGGATCTCAACAGGGAGAGGGGGGAAAACATCGTGGGGAGGAAAAGGGAAAAACTCAGAGGGAGAAAGGGCCTTAGGGGGGAAAGGGGGGATGGATCTCAACAGGGAAAATGGCAAAAGATCTTAGGGAGGAAAAGGGAGAAGATCTCAGGGGGGGAAAGGCCTTAGGGGGGAAAGGGGGGAAAGGATCTGAGCAGGGAAAGGGGGGGAAAGATCTTAGGGAGGAAAGGGAGAAGATCTGGGGGCAAAGGCCTTAGGGGGGAAAGGGGAGAAATGATCTCAACAGGGAAAGGGGTGGAAAAGATCTTAGGGAGGAAAGGGAGAAGATCTGGGGGAAAAAAGGCCAACAGGGACAGGGGGGAAAGATCTAAGGAAGGAGAAGCTCTCAGGGGGGGAAAGGCCTCAGGGGGAAAGGGTGGGAAGGATCTCAACAGGGAAAGGGGGGAAACAATCTTAGGAAGGAAAGGGGGGGGGAAGATCTTAGGGAGGAAAGGGAGAAGATCTGGGAGAAAAGGACTTAGGGGGGGAAGCCCAACAGGGAAAGGGGGGAAAAGATCTTAGGAAGGAACAGGGAGAAGCTCTCATGGGGGGGGGGAAAGGCCTTGGGAGGGAAAGGGGGGAAAGGATCTCAACAGGGAAAGGGTGGGAAAGATCTTAGGAGGAAAGGGGGGGGAAGATCTTAGGGAGGAAGGGAGAAGATCTGGGAGAAAAGGACTTAGGGGGGAAAGGGGAACCTAAGGATTTCCTCTCAAAAGGCCTTAGGGGGGAAAGGGGGAAAGGATCTCAACAGCGAAAGGGGGGGAAAGATCTTAGGGAGGAAAGGGAGAAGATCTGGGGAAAAAATGCCTTAGGGGGGAAAGGGGGAAAGGGGGATCTTAGGGAGGAAAGGGAGAAGATCTGGGAGGAAAAGGGGAAATCTTCTTGGGGGGAAAGGGGGAAAGGAGGGAAGATCTTGGGGGGAAAAGAAGATCTTTAGGGGGGAAACGGGAAAGGCAAGGGGGGGATCTTAGGGGGGAAACGGGGGCAAGGATCTTAAGCGGGAAAGGGGGGAAGAGATCTTAGGGAGGCAAAGGGAGACGAACTCAGGGAAAAGGACTTAGGGAGGAAAGGGGGGGAAAGATCTTTGGGAGGAAAAGGGAGAAGAACTGAGGGTGGGAAAAGGCCTTAGAAGGAAAAGGGGGGAAATAAATGATCTCAACAAGGAACTGGGGGGGGGGTTCACCAGCATAGGCAACATCCCCAGCATCACTTGCATCATCCGCATCCTTGGCAGGCGCTGATGCGGATGATGCAGGTGATGCTGGCGATGTGCCGCTGGAGCTGCTAAGGATGCGAAAGCGCACCCGGGGGGAATCGAACACCCCAATGTTTTTGACAAACTGAGTTGCTGCCCCTGGAGAGGGGTTAGGGGAGGGGTAACAGGTAAAGAGGTAAGGAGCATTTCTTATGTCCAACACGCCGCCTGTTGTCGGCGGTTATCATATTTTCTTGACCCCATTCACTGGAAATGGACGCGGTGCATATTTGTCTCAACACAGGGGAACCCTCCAAAACTGATGGTTTTCCCACCGCCCGGCGTGGAGCATTTCTGCCCCGAGACTAGCCGGAGCCGAGGACCTGTCCATTTTTTTCCCGAACGCCGTGGCAGTTCTCCGGAGGGAGAAAAGTCCTTTGAGTGCGGCCGCATGTGCGCAGTGGTCCTGCGCCATTATCAACATGTTGTGCTTGCTCCTGTTTGTTTGTTTGTTTGGTTGTTTGATTGATTGATTGATTGATTGTTTGATTGATTGTTTGATTGATTGTTTGTTTGCTTGTTTGTTTGCTGTTTTGTTTGTTGTCTTGTTTGCTTGTTTGCTTGTTTGCTTGCTTGCTTGATTGCTTGCTTGCTTGCTTGCTTGCTTGCTTGCTTGCTTGCTTGCTTGCTTGCTTGCTTGCTTGCTTGCTTGCTTGCTTTCTTGTTTATTGTTTTTTTTTTGTCGGCTTAATTGTTTTTGTGTTGCTCCGTTTTGCATTTTTTTCTATTTGCTTGCTTGATTGCTTGCTTGGGTGCTTGCTCGCTTGCTTGCGGGCTTGCTTTTTTGTTTTGTGTGTTTGTTTGATTGTTTGTTCGTTTGGTTTGGTTCGGTTTGGTGTGGAGTGGTGTGGTGCGGTTTGGTTTGGTTTTGTTGGTTTTGTTGGTTTGCGGGTTTACTTGCTGCTTGCTTGTGTGTGTGTGTTTGTTTGTTTGTTTGTTGGTTGGTTGGTTGGTTGGCTTTCAACAGAAGCTGGATTCGCGGAGATGCAACTTATTAGAGCTGGACTCTGATTTGGCATACCTCCAAGCACGGCACGTTTCACCTGATCAAAAACAAATTTAATCTTGAAAGAACACTTTTGTTTAGGGTCACCCCAAGTATACAGGATACACATAGGAAACCAGGATCAAACCCCACTGGATTAGTTTTCCCTGATTTGTGGGACAAAAGGTGCCTTAAAACTCCCCTTGAGCCAGTGATCCGTTTTTTCCCTGGGTATCATTGTTGGAAGTTGGAACCCTTTAAGTGAAGGACAAGTGGTTGAACAAGTTGCCCGTGCGGCCCATGCCTGCTGGGGTCTGGGCGAGCCATGTGACTTTTCGCCTCTTGGCTCGCAGCTTTTGCCGCCGCCTCGGCCGACGGCAGTTTTGTGGCGCTTTTTTCGCCCGCTGAAAGGCACGTTTTGAGCGGCGGCGGCGGCGGCGGTACCTTGAAACGGAAAAGCACAAGGGGGTCGTGGCATGGGTTTGACTATGTCTTTACTCGGAGGTGCGTGGCCAAGCTTGTAAGTGATTGGCCACTTGGAGTTATTCACCACCTAAGAACAAGGTTAACTCAACTGACCAACTTACGAACTTGGCCGAACACCCAGTACCCTTTTCCACCAAACAAAGGAAATCGATTTTGGAACCGGTCCAAGTGGGGTCGATTCAAATCCCGATTGTGCCACAGCCACTTCAGTTCTCCCGGCTGACAGGCGCTTTCGCTTGAAAGCTGGGGCGCTCACATGTGCGTGGCTCAAAATGAAAGGGCTAGGGTTACGCAGCTGTTAGTCTTTGGTTCCATTTGCTGAGGTGCCATTTTGGTGCATTTGTTTGAGCCACAGCCACATGGACCAACATACGGGTGTGTGAGTAACGTAATGGTGTGTGTGTGTGTGTCCTTCTGAGGCTGGAACCCCTCTTTCGAATTGCTGCAAAGGGACTCCAACAAGAACACCATAGTTTTTGGGTCCCGCTAGTTTGGCACACACGCGTAATGGTTCTTTTTTTCGATTTATCAATGACCAAGCAGCAAATCTCGCCCCTTTCCCAGGACCGTGGCTGGTCAGTTTGGCGCAGAAACAATATTAGTTCTTTCGATTTAGCAATGACCAAGCAACAATTCTCGCCTTTTTCAAAGGACATGGCTGGTCTTTGGGGACCGTTTGGGCTTACAAATGGCTTTTCCATGAAACCTACAAAAGGTTCAACGACCTTTTGGATCGTTCGGCGGAAAAGCAATCCAGTTGCTTGAGTTTAAGCGGACACTCACCGTTTAACAGGGTCCCTATAGTTTCCCTTTTTGGTTTTTAGACATCACCTTTTGGCCCATGAAAGGTGAGTGTCCCTTGGTGGGGGTGATGCTTTAAGGGGAACTAGGGAGCCCAGTTTAATGGAGCACCCCAAAAAGAAGAGAAGAACAACGTTCACGCATTTCGCAGGGCATGCTGCAGCTACCAGACTGGCCGGCATGGGCCAGTCGTACCTTTTTGGTCTTGGCGGCTCGGCCTGCCTTTGGGGTGCACCAGTTTGGACCAATCTTGTCCACCAATGATTTGTCCAATTTGTGTTGCCCAAGTACCCGTGGTGGTTTTCTTGTTCTTTTCCGGCGTATTTTGAATAATATTGTTTCCTTTGTAAAAAGATACATTAAATCTTTTAGTCAGGGATTGGCATCATAGAAAAGCGGGCATTTGGGTTTAAAGGCAAGCCAAAAGGCAAACCCCACCATTTTGGGGGCTCTCCTACAAAAGACAGACACCCATACATGTCCCACACGCACCCCTAGTTGATCGGTTTCCTGACAATGATTCGTGCCTCAAGTCTGAGAAGCTGTCGCAAAAGGTCATGGGGGAGCTTGCCTCCTTCCGGTTGGCTTGCAAGCGAGCCCAAAGGGACATTTATATATATATACATACCGGACATGCATCAGTGTATATATGAGCCACGGACAAAACACGCGTAGACCACTTTATCAAGACGGGGCACGCTTTTGAGTAACACATCCCAAAACCATGGAAAACGATGAGGTCTCCCCCAAAAACGATGACCCTTAACGAACACACGGCTCTGTAAATACGACACTTGTACTGAGAAGTTGCGATTTTCGAGCTGGAGATGCGGAAGTGTACTTCGCGTACAGCCTAGGCTTGTACTACAAAGCTGCGATTTTCGAGCTGGAGCTGCGGAAGTGTTCTTCGCGTACTAGACTTGTACTACAAAGTTGCGAATTTCGAGCTGGAGCTGCGGAAGTGTACTTCGCGTACTAGACTTGTACTACAAAGTTGCGATTTTCGAGCTGCAGAGGCGGAAGTGTACTTCGCGTACTAGACTTGCACTACAAAGTTGCGATTTTCGAGCTGGAGATGCGGAAGTGTACTTCGCTTACTAGACTTGTACTACAAAGTTGCGATTTTCGAGCTGGAGCTGCGGAAGTGTACTTCGCGTACTAGACTTGTACTGCAAAGTTGCGGACTTCGCGTACTAGACTTGTACTACAAAGTTGCGATTTTCGAGCTGGAGCTGCGGAAGTGTACTAGACTTGTACTACAAAGTTGCGACTTTCGAGCTGGAGCTGCGGAAGTGTACTTCGCGTACAGACTTGTACTACAAAGTTACGATTTTCGAGCTGAAGATGCGGAAGTGTACTTCGTGTACTAGACTTGTACTACAAAGTTGCGATTTTCGAGCTGGAGATGCGGAAGTGTACTTCGCGTACTAGACTTGTATTACAAAGTTGCGATTTTCGAGCTGAAGATGCGGAAGTGTACTTCGCGTACTAGACTTGTATTACAAAGTTACGATTTTCGATCTGAAGATGCGGAAGTGTACTTCGCGTACTAGACTTGTACTACAAAGTTGCGATTTTCGAGCTGGAGATGCGGAAGTGTACTTCGCGTACTAGACTTGTACTACAAAGTTGCGATTTTCGAGCTGAGAGGCGGAAGTGTACTTCGCGTACTAGACTTGTACTACAAAGTTGCGATTTTCGAGCTGGAGATGCGGAAGTGTACTTCGCGTACTAGACTTGTACTACAAAGTTGCGATTTTCGAGCTGGAGCTGCGGAAGTGTACTTCGCGTACTAGACTTGTATTACAAAGTTGCGATTTTCGAGCTGAAGATGCGGAAGTGTACTTCGCGTACTAGACTTGTATTACAAAGTTGCGATTTTCGAGCTGGAGCTGCGGAAGTGTACTTCGCGTACTAGACTTGTACTACAAAGTTGCGATTTTCGAGCTGGAGATGCGGAAGTGTACTTCGCGTACTAGACTTGTACTACAAAGTTGCGATTTTCGAGCTGGAGATGCGGAAGTGTACTTCGCGTACTAGACTTGTACTACAAAGTTGCGATTTTCGAGCTGGAGATGCGGAAGTGTACTTCGCGTACTAGACTTGTACTACAAAGTTGCGATTTTCGAGCTGGAGCTGCGGAAGTGTACTTCGCGTACTAGACTTGTACTACAAAGTTACGATTTTCGAGCTGAAGATGCGGAAGTGTACTTCGTGTACTAGACTTGTACTACAAAGTTGCGATGAGCTCAAGCTGGAGATGCGGAAGTGTGCGGACTTCGCGTACTAGACTTGTGCTACAAAGTTGCGAGTTTCGAGCTGGAGATGCGGAAGTGTACTTCGCGTACTAGACTTGTACTACAAAGTTGCGATTTTCGAGCTGGAGATGCGCGTAAGTGTACTTCGCGTACTAGCGTACTAGACTTGTACTACAAAGTTGCGATTTTCGAGCTGGAGCTGCGGAAGTGTACTTCGCGTACTAGACTTGTACTACAAAGTTGCGATTTTCGAGCTGGAGATGCGGAAGTGTACTTCGCGTACTAGACTTGTACTACAAAGTTGCGATTTTCGAGCTGGAGCTGCGGAAGTGTACTTCGCGTACTAGACTTGTACTACAAAGTTGCGATTTTCGAGCTGGAGCTGCGGAAGTGTACTTCGCGTACTAGACTTGTACTACAAAGTTGCGATTTTCGAGCTGGAGATGCGGAAGTGTACTTCGCGTACTAGACTTGTACTACAAGTTGCGATTTTCGAGCTGGAGCTGCGGAAGTGTACTTCGCGTACTAGACTTGCACGACAAAGTTGTGATTTTTGAGCTGGAGATGCGGAAGTGTACTTCGCGTACTAGACTTGTACTGCACAGTTGCGATTTTCGAGCTGGAGATGCGGAAGTGTACTTCGCGTATTAGACTTGTACTGCCTGCCAAGTTTCGCTTTTCGAGCTGGAGCTGCGGAATTGTATTTCGCAATTTTCGGGCTGGAGCTGCGGAAGTGTACTTCGCGTACTAGACTTGTACTACAAAGTTGCGAATTTCGAGCTGGAGCTGCGGAAGTGTACTTCGCGTACTAGACTTGTGCTAGAAAGTTGCGATTTTGGAGCCGGATCTGCCAAAGTTCGAAAACACTGTAAAACGATGAGGTCTCCCCCAAAAACGATGACGTTAAAAAAAGTACTAAGGCCAAGTAAAGGGTTTCGTCCGCTCCTCATATATATATATGTAGATTCTGCATATGAGCAGCTAACAATATGTTCTTGCTACTTCGATAGGCAGGGAGTGAGGGAATAGCGCCAAATTGACCCAGCCCCCTTTTTTTGCCCCGTACAGATCCCAAACGGTTCCTTCCCAAAAGCCCTCTTGACTTGACCTACTAAGAACTAACTACTTGGGTGGTCTGGTTTTGGGAGGACATGGGCGAAAGAAACACATGTCCCACAAAAAACATTTCGGGCTCCAAGCAATGTGCCAATGTCCGACTTGGCCGAGGCGGCCATCACGGGTACTGTGGCCATTGGCGAGCGCGTTAGCGCGAAGAACAGTGGCAAGGACAGGCTGATCCCTTCAAATGGGATCCCGTATGGAGTCAATGGACCCAATACGGGAACAGACAGGAACCATAGGCATTTGCCACGATAAGGCATATGTTGAGCATGGCCAATTGTTCCCTTTCTTCCGCACGTGGGGTTCTCCCAGAAATTGTCCTTCACCTGTAGTGTATATCAGGAATTGGCAAGGTCCTTCTATCTTACTTTTTGGGTGAACCATAATTTGTGATGGACCAGTTACCGATCTGAGGCAAAGAGGACCCACCAACAGGTTGGCGAATTTCAAGAATCGTGTGGCCAGATGATCATTCTTTCGGATCCTTAGCCGCTCAATTCTGCGTGGCGAAGTGCGATTTCCGGAAGGATCCGTGAAGTTGATGTGAGGAGGATGAGGACAAGCCCTCCGGCGAGCGGCTCAAAGAGTTCCGGGCCTTCCAGCGGCAGCAACTCGGCCGCCAGATCAGGATCGGTTGCGACCGGTTCCCCTCATTTTTTTGGGGGGACCACAGGCGGTTCATTTTTCCCTAAAAGGCGAAGCTCTGGGTTTAAGTCTACCTTGTCATTTGGCCAGAGTTGAATCCACCTAAAAAGTGGTTGGTGGACATGAAACTACCTAAGTGATGTCTGCAAAAGGGTCCCCAAATGTTCGCATGGTTCTATGATTTTAGTTCCCACTACCGAATAATAGTACCCTTCTTGTTCGGCCCCGAGCTCGAATAAGTTCTCCAAACTCAATCAAACAACCTCCTTTTCCAACGGACAAAACAAAAAGTGTTTTTCCGCACTCATTTGTTCGAACCCGTTGAAGATTCAGCAGGTCACGGACAACAAGATGGCCAATTCCACCCTCTCTCACGCCAATCCGATGCTTCAACAGCCTTCTAATCCCATGTAGCTGGCGCTCTTGGCAGATGCAATCAACCAGCTGTCCGTTGAACAGTGAGCCCCTTGAGATGTGCTGTTTTTCTCAAAATTGGTGTCCCCTAAAATTGGGTGGTTTCCTCGTTGTCCTTCAAATACCAACCAAAACGGGGTCCACTAGTTTGAGAAACTCCCTTGTCAAGTGATGTTTTTTTGAGCCTGCCCTTTCAGGTTGCTTTGAAGGTGGACCAAAAGAAAACCCACCATTTTGATCCGTTTTGGGAGTTCCCTTATTTTGACACATTGCATAGCGGTTCCCATACGGCTCCTTAAGCTTTTAGGCGTTTCGAGTTTGGTTGGATTCATGACACATCTCGTTAGAAGTTTAAGTTTTAGCAAGGGATCAATTAACCAGTACGTCTTCCATTTTCAGAATCATTGTTGTTATTCTCCTCTGTTGGTTGAAATGGGAATCGAGCACTACTGGAAGTGTTTTTGCTATATCCATGGGCCTCAAGTAAGTGGAAGACGTGCAGAGGGAGCAGATGTTGGTGCAACACTTGCTTCATGCACGAGGCGGGCATAAAGTTGCATGCAGGTGCTGCCATAGATGTGGTGCTTAGTGGGGACATGGGAGCCGAGGACGGAAGCATCCCTTGGGTGATTTTGATTGGGCTTCCGCTTTCGGGGGGAGGGAACGGCCAATTAGCGGATTCATTCTGACAAGATCAACTCCGGGGTCCGGCACCCGTCTCCCAAGAATCATTGATTTGGGGTAAACATGGACCAGGCTCTGATCAGACTTTTTGTGTACCCCAGATTTGGTCCAAGGTATTTGACGGTCTACACCATCATCATGGGCGCTGACTGGCTCCAGGCCCGACTTCTCAAAGCACACTGGCGGGTTTGTTTGTTCACCCGCCAATAGGGAACGTGAGCTGGGTTTAGATCGTTTTGAGACAGGTTAGTTTTACCCTACTGATGAATTTGATGCTGCGGCAGTAATCGAAGTGAGGTTCGGGAGGAACACTTCGTTCAGACACCTTTCAGCTTTTAGAGGAAACCGCAAGGCCATTTTGGGACCCCCGATTTTCACACTTTCCCTGGTGAGCAGCCTTGAGGCAGTTCGATCTTTTCTTTTGATGTGCTGTTGAAGCAGTCCGGCAGTTCGCACGATTTGAGAGAAAGGAGGTGGTACTCCCTCAAGGGCTCCCCATACTCCCCCTGGTTAAACGTCAACTCTTGGGCCAGTTTGAAGTAAGAATTCTTTTGATGTAATAGGAAAATCTAGGGTTCACCCTGTCACTATCCATGAGTTGATTGGTTTTCGAAACTGTGGCCAGGGCACCAACATGTACACGCTCTACCAGAGCTACGATGTGGATATCAGCGCATTGTTCATCACAGGCAGGCAGCCATTGAGAGCCTTTGGCAACGTCGTGCGCAAGACGGAGCTTGGAAATGGGTCTCAAAGGTAGGGGATCCCCAAAACTGCTTGTTTCTTTGGCCTAAAAAATCCACCCAAAGGCACCCAAATTGTCTGCAAAATGCAAGAGCGGTGTGCTCAAAGTGCGCGCAAAAGGCGACAGACAGCCTCAATTTGAATTTGAGCCATAGCCTGTCAACAAAAGACCATGCTTGGTGCGTCCGCAGTGTACAATCATGACTCCTGTCAGGTCCTGAGTGGAATACACTTATTGGTGTTCTTCCGAGCTTCGAAAATGGATCTTTCAACAGCTGAAACAAAGGCTCGCGACCCACACCTGTCCAGGCTTCACATCTTCGGCCATTTTCGGCACGATCGTAGGGATGCGCTTTGGCAAGGGTCAGACACAGAGTTGTCAAGGCAGATACAGTCACCTGGGAATGTCCAGAGGATGGCCCTTGTGGAACATCTTCCAGCACCCTCCAACGAAAGTCCTTTCTGATGTCCAAGACCTCAAGTGACGCTGTCCAAAAGCAGTTGTTGCGGGGTGCTGGCAGGGTAGGGCAATATGAAAGAACCAGCTGCTGGTTCAATACGGGCACCCAGCAGGTGGTTGAAACAATAAGTGTTTAAGCCCATGGTTGAAAGGCCTGCCCGTTGGGGTGACCTCCTTCAAAGTGCCACATCCAGTTCCAGATCTGGTTTTTAAATCGAAATGGAGCCCAACAGGGGGAGTCCCCCCAAAGCAAGAAGGGTGGTTTGGAGCCTGAACTCAAGAATCGTCCGACATTAGTCTGGCAAGGGTCGTGTGCATCCATGAATAGATTGCGGCCAAAAGACAATTAGACAACATCATCGTCATCACAACCCCACCTTCTCCCTTTCCTTCTCCCTCTTCTTCTCCCTCTTCTTCTCCGTCTCTCCTCCCCCTCCGCCTATCTCCCTTCGATATCTCCTTCTCGTTTTCTTCCGCGTTCTCCTTTCTCGCACTTCTCCTTCTCTACCTCCTGCTCTTCTCCGGTGATCAAGGTATGTGGACATCTGGGGCCGCAAGCTTGGATGCATTGTTTACCTGGTCATTGAGGCCGGAGAGGGGGGGGCATCCAGTGGTAACATGGGTGGATTTACGTAAAACAACCTCAAGAACTGGCCTTGTCTAAAGGGGTGGGACCCAGCCCCACAAGTAATTTTGAGAACCCCTCAAACCCTCTTAAATAGTTTGTTTAAAGGAACCCACTGGATTCAAACAGTTGAGAGAGTCCCTGTGGGCCAGGGTTTGGCACGGGGTTGAATGGACCTCTGAACTAACTCAAGTTGGGCCTAGATCATTCCCTATGCGCCCAAGACCTCTTTATTAACCAGGCTCCCGCCTGCTGCCGCCGACCCTCGGCGCATTAAGGGAAAAGTCACAAGGACCGGTCCTGAAACACGTCCGCAAACCCAGGGACCACTTAGAAGATCCTCTACGACCACAAACAAGGATTAACGGAAAAGTCAGAAATATGGCAGCTAGTCCGTTAATTACCGCTTGCGCCCAAGTCACTTCGAGTTGGCGCGGGAGCGCCCTGGACCGGGGTTTGGTTCTGGGACCGGTCCCGGGACTGGTCCTGGGACCTGACCCAGCACCTGTCCTGGGACCGGTCCTGGGACCGGTCCTGGGACCGGTCCTGGGACTGGTCCCGGCCACGCTGTCAGGATTGAAGCCGGTCCCGGGATGGAGTCCTGCCACCTCAAACCGCTCCAGACGCCTTTCGGGACCTATCCCGGGACCGGTCCCAGGACTGGCTGACAGAACCAGGGCGCCAGGACCAGTCTTAGGATTGGTTCTAGGAATGGTCTCAGGACTGGTCCCAGGACCGGTCCCAGGACCGGTCCCGGGGTCCTAGAACACTTTTCGTGCGTTCGGGCGTGTCCCCCAAGGACTATCATTGATTCCAATCACTTCCAGTTGCATCCCACGCCGGTCCCCTCTGCAGGAGGCTGGGACGGGAGGCAGAGGGTCGGCGGATTTGAGGCCTTTGCGGGTCAAAGGCCCTCTTGTTTAGGGTCTTGGGCTCTTAGATCATTGGTTCATTTCTTCATGGCCCCACCGCCGAATTGAAGGTAATCGTGAACCTCTTTGAGCACGTCAACAACTTCCCTCTGCTTCTGCTCGGCCGAGTGATGGGCGGCGCCGGAGCGCCCGGAGATTTTGTGTTCTGCCGAGTCAATGTGGGTTTCGAGCGCTGACCCCCACCGCGAGGGTGAAACGGGCGAAAATCCATGATTTGGGGCGTGTGTTGCTTCAAGGATGCTTCAAGGTACCCTGTTCACCTTGGTTTAACGGGAAACTAAAAACCAACACAAATTGGTTGGGCCCCCTATGTTGGCACATACCCATGCAGGTCCTTTCGGAAGCGCATCATGTCGTGCATGTGTGCCTGGCGGAGCCAATCCGTTGGGTTTGCAATACGTGGCAACCCAAAATCGATCATGCACCCGCAAGGGCTTGCCACCCCTCATCATTGCGGTCCTCCCGATGAATCCGAAGTTGGCATTACGTCCTGCGCGGTGCCTTGTGCTGAAAAGTGTTTTTGCAGCTTCAGTCCAAGTTTAAAGCTTTCCAAGGCCGATGGGGATGTTTGGAAGGACGCGTTTGTCGAAGGTGCGAACTTGTTTCAAGAAGTGTGATCCGACGAGGTTGACGCTACATTTTTGCCAGAACACAGAACCTATCGAAATTGGCGTGCAAAGAGCGTTTGTAGTTGCTCTTTGCTGATTGCGGCCTTCTGGCTTTGCCATCAATATTTATTGACGTGTTTACTGCCAACTTGCTATAGCAGCATCGCTTGGGCTGCTGATTGTCAACGTTTGGGTTGAAACTATGGAATCGACTGGGACTGAAGCTCCAAGAATGAGTCATAGCAAGAGAAGCATCGTAAGGACATGACCCCTGAATGGTCCTTGGTTCCAGTAGTCAATAGTCACGATTATTTTGTTTGTTATGGCTCCCCTGGCTCTGAATCAAAAAGACCCATGCTATGAATTTGAAGAGTTGGAACCACCTCCAAGGTGGTTGGTGGACATGAACCCCCCACAATATTTGAAGCCCGGCACCGCGGGACGCGACTGGTTGAGGTTAGTACGTCGTTGCTCTTCTCCGCCTTTGAGCCTCTTGCCATTCGATTTGTTGCTGCCGGATGATGTGGACCACGGACTTGTTTCAAAATTGAGGCACCCCTAAATGGCAACTGGACAAGGAGAGATACGTGATACTGTGTCTTGAAATTCGGGACACGGAAATTGTATGCAATTGTCCCTTTCAGTTTCCGTTAGGGAGTTCCCTATCAAAGACACGCCCAAATCTACTTTACACCAGTTGCAATGTGTCCTATTCTGTTCGCGAACAATTGTATCATGAAACCCTATGAATACCTACCAATTGGCCAATTGGTGCAGAATGTTTGTCCATCCACAGGAGCCCCCAGAATCGTTCTCAGACCCCAACAACCGGAACCCCTTTTGAGGAGGTTCCAAGGACCTTTCTGGAACATTTTTCCTAGACGTGTAGTATAGTTGAATTGGAGCACATGCATCCAGGAAACCAAGCCACAAGAGACCTGGCCATACCAGAAGCATATGAGTAGGACAGATCTATGTCACTGTCCGTGCATGGACACCATCCACCACTCTACTCTGCACCAGGAAGGGTGTGAATACTGATTCACAAACCACCACCCGCTGGTGCTTGGCGTGAGTTTTGTCCATCCACAGTAGTGAATAAGTTGCAAACGTATCCCAGGTGTGTCTGTCTCATCCATGACGCTTTCCGGTTGCGCTCACGTGCATCCAGGGGACAGCACATGTCAGCCATACATCAAATTTGCAAGCCTGGATTCCGGTGTCAATTCGCATCTTCCCATTTTTCAGCCAAGACCAGACTGCATTCTTCAAGCCGCGCAGAGGGCAGCCATCCGGGGATTTTATTTCGGGATGCTTCAACACAAGACTTCCCGCAAAGCGGCATTGGCCATGGTCCTCTCATTTTTTCGTTAGAACAACTGGGTCCCCCAGTAGTGCCCTTTTTCCCTTTTTTGGTTGGGAGGGTTCCCCTACCAAAAATAATGTTGGACTCTGTTTAGTGTGACCCCCCCCCCCCCGAACAGTGGAACCAGTCGGCGGGACTCTCTTTAGGGAGATCCTGGGGGTCCGGGAGGGGCAGTACTTACTTTAGTATTGCCAATTCCACTTTAGTATTGCCAAGGCTGACTCTCAGATCCCCAGTACTTACTTTCGTATTGCCAATTCTACTTTAGTATTGCCAAGGCTGACTCTCAGATCCCCAGTACTTACTTTCGTATTGCCAATTCTACTTTAGTATTGCCAAGGCTGACTCTCAGATCCCCAGTACTTACTTTTGTATTGCCAATTCTACTTTAGTATTGCCAAGGCTGACTCTCAGATCCCCAGTACTTACTTTTGTATTGCCAATTCTACTTTAGTATTGCCAAGGCTGACTCTCAGATCCCCAGTACTTACTCTCCAATTCTACTTTAGTATTGCCAAGGCTGACTCTCAGATCCCCAGTACTTACTTTTGTATTGCCAATTCTACTTTAGTATTGCCAAGGCTGACTCTCAGATCCCCAGTACTTACTTTTGTATTGCCAATTCTACTTTAGTATTGCCAAGGCTGACTCTCAGATCCCCAGTACTTACTCTAGCATTGCCAATTCTACTTTAGTATTGCCAAGGGTCGTTTTTCAGCAACCCCCGAAACCAGTTGGACACTAAAGAGGGCCCCAAAACAGTCGCATTAAAGAGGATCTGGGCCTCTTGTGGGCACCCCCCTTTGTGTGACTGTTTGCCCGCACTTTTTTTGTAAAGAAGTTATCTTAAATTTGATGGTTTGGGGACCACTTCAAGTTTCCCAATTCTAACTCAGAACCAGCCTCCAGCTCCCAAGGCTTGGCAAGTTTAGCCTGAGCCCGAGCAAATCCAGAAAGCGAAGAGAGAAGCTCTGCGTTTTTTTTTGGGGGGGGGGGAACAAAAAAACTTGCCACAATAGAGAACCCCTAAAACAGTCACAGGATTCTGAATGAGGAAAATAATTATACAATAGCGAGTACTATTAATAAAGGAGGTCCAACATTAGACTACAGCAAAAAGGGTACCCTTATTCTAACCTCTCTACTGGAGTACTGGAGGACTTAGGTCACATGAAGATTTGGCCATGTCACATGTTCCAGGATATGTCCAGGTATGTTTTGATGATTAGCGCTTTTAGACCACCAATATAAGCCCGAAACGCAGCTTTTACCCCAAAAAGTAGTATATAGTGTCCATACCTCCAAGACCTGGAAACGTCCACCCGGCACGGCAGCTGAGGACCTGGATGGTCTCAGAGCACAGAAAGCGGGGCTTTCCCGAGGGATGGTTAGCAGATACCTTCGGCGCGGACACCTATGCCGGTCGCTTCTTCCTTTTGTTGTTGTTGTTGTTGTTTTGTGGCCGCCTATGCGGGTCGCTTCGTTTTTTGTGTGTGTTTCTGTTTTTTCGTGCAACCCTTTTCTCGCCACTGGTCTTTGACGTGACCGAATCGCTGCTTAGACCGTTTGGTTTTCAATTGCCGTTTGATAAAACCTGCGATAGGTCCTTACGGACCTTTTTCTCTTTCGGGCGGAAGAGCAACCAGTTTGAGTTTGAGGGAAAACCAATAGGAAACTGACCGTTTTGTGGGTCTAAGCAATTTCAATCTGCTCAATGCCAAAAGATGGGCAGATTCTTACTCTGCTCTGCAGGCAAGAAGGGGGACCCCTTTACTGGTGAGCCATAATTTAGCAGCTCTACTTTTGTGGAAAGGGGCAAGCACGATTGGACCATAGGTGGTTTTTTTAGGTTAGTTTGGTTAGACACAGATGGGTTCGGCTGGTTTAGATGTATTTTGTTCTATTCCATTTACCAGGCCATCTATTTGCTTGTCCCTTTCCAACGAGACAAAAGCTGAATGCCGGACCCTCGATCTTGGCTGCAGGAATCCAGGATTTTCAGCTGGGCCGCTCTGCATAATGCACCTAGGCATTGGCAACTTGCTAGGGACAAATATTCCCACCATGTGTGCCGTGGTCTCTTGACCCCCGTTTGCTTGAGGTTGATAGGGATGATCATGGACCCCTTAATAGAGAATTTAGACAACCATGATAAGAGCCTTGACCATGTCCGCGCAAGGAGTTTTGACCATGGCACATGTGTCACATGCAGGCTGACCATCCACACGCTTGAAGCCGCAACGCACACATACGCGCACACAAAGAGGCACACGCAATCGCACACGCAAACACGAGTGTGCGCACACAGGCGCACACACACGCATGGAAGGCAGAAGCGCATGCTGCAAGAGCCACACCGGGATAGCAAAGCACTGGTTTATCGCTCAAGCCATGTGCGCCAATGGGCATGTCGAAGGTGTTCGCCTGCCGAATCTCAGCTGCACTGACTCGAAGATTTTGTTGATCAGCAAACTTGTCGTGCTTCTTCTCACCAAGCATAAGTTTGGACACCTGGTGCACAATCTTCTGCGTATTTTGCGGCGAGCTCGCCTGGGGTTAAAATGAGCTCACCCTGATATATGGCAATGATTTGGGGATTCATAGGGATAGGCATAAACAGGGGTAGGCAAACTGGAATCACAAGGGCAGTCATAAACATTAACGTCACGGTGCAAAAGTCTGACTAACAGGACTCCGTGGGCTCTTCAACTAGGGCACCCTTTAAAGCCGCCGGGGGGTACCCTCCAAAGACGAGCCACGCTTTCTCTTGTGCCACAGGAGCGTGCGTAGCCCACGGCCGCCGGAGAGACCTCCGAGGCAAGACGAGGGCTTGGAGGAAGTGGTTGGTTTTTCACGTTGCTTGGGGTTATTTGATAGGGTTCCTTTCGGATGGCTCTCTTGGGGATAGCGGGCCCCTGACAACCATGGTTCTCAAAGTTGTGTCGCACGCAGGGCAGGGATTGTCAGAGCCAGCCAGAAATAGGTGCTCACCAAGGGTTTTGGGCAGACCCCTTGTGACTCAAGTCAATCGGCATGCCCGAGCAACACAGAAGTTGGTTGTCAAGGTTCAGCGCCTGAGTCACGCTTTGTGGTTCACACTAAGCTTTCGGCGCCAGCTGCTCTGAACCCCAATCCGAAATCTGGTAGTTTGCGCTGGGCCAATCCCCAGGTTGGGTCTGGGGTCCCCAGAGACAAACTTGTGATGAGTTGGGTGATTTGTTGAATGTGTTTATTAAAAGATGGCTGCTGGCCTTTGGCATAATCGATCAGAACCTGGTTGCTAGAACCCGTTAAACGGGTCCCCTGAAACAACGACGGACGACCAGCTTGCCGCAGACCTTGTGAAGGCCACAAAGCCTTTGTCAGGCCACACTCCCAGCGGCCGCCGCTGCCGAGTCGCGAGCAGCTTCCTAGCCCACGCGACAGGCGCGCGGGTTTGATTTGGACTTGACAACTCTCCTTGCCGTTCTTTTCCTGAGATGTTCACGGATGTTCTGCGGTGTTCGGATGCAGAATGGCAAGAACTGCAATGGAAGTTCGGCAAATTTAACCGGTGTCTTTTTGGAAGGGTGTCACGCGACACGCGCCTCGCCGCGTACGCAGAGAGACGCACAAGTCCATGTCTGTTCATTTCATTGCCTTTGCGCTAAAACGAGGGCAGGGAACGAACTTCGAGCCACAAGATCGTTGCAGCTACAACCAAAGTCGGAAGCCGGCCAACGAGACACCTTGGATCAGGAAAGGTGACCGGTGACATGCCGAGGGCGAGCGCTGCGCGTGAATCTGGTCCGGGCGATGTCTCCCCTGAACATCGGGTGACCCACACGGCAACACTTGGCCAATCAGCAGAGCCCACGGGAGCCTTCTTGGCAGCCAGCGCGACAGGCAGGTAAATCTGCAGCGGCTCTTGCGTCAACTTCGAAGGCGCCAACTACAGGTTCATCACCTCCTTTGCTGCGCAAGCTCTCTGAAAACCACCTGGACAATTGGCTGTGGGTCGAAAATAAGTAATTTGGAACCCTGGTAAATGGAACCTTGGACTAAAACCTGCGGTCCCCGGGTGGTTTAATTTGACCCATACCCAATTGAAGGTAGCATTCAACAGCGCGCTTTCGTTTTTGATTCTGAATTTGCCGTACCAATCAGATGCCCGACATTGACAGCTGTGACGCAAAGCAGGCGCCTGTTGCCACGTTGCTTCAAAACAAATATTCCAACACCCTTGGTTCTCCAGACATTTTGCCTTTTCTATGACTATGAACTAGCACGATGTGCAAAAATAAACAATTCAAACACGCCTTGTTCTTGTGCTTCCCTTGCATAAACCACAGCGATTTTGATGCTCTTCGCGCCTGGCAAACCCCACGCCGCATCTGGACAAATCCAATTCATTGCTGTTTCAAACTGCGTTCTCCGCAGAAGAGCCCGCGTGCGTATTCCGCATCTGCCAGCACTGGACATGCGGTGGCTGCCGGTCTGAAAAGCCAAGCACCAGCGCTGAGACCCCCCCAACAGTCAGACAAGGGGACCCGTGAAAGCTGGGTAATAAACTAAAAGGGTTCAACGATCGCCGTTTAGACCTTTTGGACATCAACGGTTTTCCACTTTATCCTACAAAAGGCCGAACGAAACCTGCTAAGTTTTTGTTTTTGTTTCCCCCTAAACCTTTTTTTGGCTTGGTAGGGGGAGACCCACAAGGAAACCAGCAAAAAAAAAGGAAAAGAACTGCTTGAGGCACCCTTGTCTTGCTGGTTCTCAATGAATGAGAAACGGAATGACCCCTAGAACAATCATCCCAGAAAGGTGTCCTTTATTCGGGAATCCCCTTTTGGTTCGACCCCTAGACCCAGAAAAGATTCCTTTCTTCGGGACTTCCGGTTCATTTCCAACACCCGGACTCGGTGATTCTCTACCTATGCTAGGTCCCCCAGTAGTGCCCTTTCTCACCTCTTTTTTGGTTGTGAGGGTTCCCCTACTGAAATAGACGACAGAAAGAAGTTGGGACCCTTATTCTAACCTCTCTACTGGAGGGCCTAGCTATCGCACCAGCAAGTTGTGGTGCCCTTCCACCCCAGGCCGCACTCGCGGCCGCCGCTTCCCTATCGCGAGCTGACGAGCCCTCGCGACAGGCGCGGTACAAGCGGCCTCTCCTGAGTTCCTGGACTTTCAGCTTTGTTGGATGACCATTTGAGTGGTAAACAAAGAATATGAACTTGTTTTGGCCAATCCACTCAGGAAGAGAGGTAAATTCACGTCTTACTGGCAACTGAAAACCTCTACAAATGGGGTTTTGCCAGTTCCTTCCAGTCATCAGACTCTTGGGTCCCGAAAAGAATGAGAACCAGCAACTCAACTCTGTTCGTTTGCCGAGAAGTTCATTCGTTTGTCGAGTTGAACATGCTGAACGGGTCATTTGCAGGGGTCTCCGGCCCAGTCCAGTTGTGCTAAGAGCATAGCTGAGCCGCAGTGGAGCTCAGTCACTGAATTTGCTGTTCGAAACTGGGTCCCATGTGGTTGCCATTTGCGAGGTGTTCAAAATGATTTGTTGGGGTAGCTTCCCTTAAAACCACCTAGAGTGCAATTTTGAGGATGTCACTTTGATGAACCCATTGGCAGTTATCGAGCCTTTTGGGAGGATATGTTTGCTCAAACTCAGCGAGAATGGCAGCACATCGCATGTTTCGTTGAGACTCCCTCATATTGGACCATGCTTGTCTCCGTATAGCATATATGCTCGGGCCAACCAGGGCGTCGTTGACACGTGCCAGGATGAAAACACGTGTTGCGTGTTCATTCCAGGTGCGCTCATCAATTGTTCAATCATTCCCACTATTCAAACCATCCAAAGTAGCTTAGTAGCATTGATAATGGGAAAGCAGTGCACGTCTCCGAACTCAGCATATTCGTTTGAAGGCCCCAAACCTTCTGACACAGGGCCGTGTTGCCGCTTATGTCTTTGCTCTTCAATTGACGCAAAGCACTCCAGGTGGGGGTGATCATTTTTTGAGGGTACCCGTTTTGGGGTGGGTTCAAAGGGAAACAGAAAGGCAAACAACCTTTTCGGGGGGTCCCCTATTCTACGACACACCCAGGTCTGTATTTATGTTATACACCCGCCTTTTTTCCGGTTTGATGTCAACCCCGGACGAAAACCGATTACTATGGAAAGCCCGGTTATTGAACATATACCCGAAATCAAGTTGGTGTTTGGAGCAGGTGGGAGACTTAGTGGTTGCTGAATCGGACACTGTTCATTTGTCGAAATTTGTTGAAATGTGACTCATGCCAGACCTCTACTGTTGGCTGCCGGAGTCAGTGGACAACCCAAAATTCACGTATAACCAGGAAGACAACCCAATTTCCCATAGTGGAAACATCCGATCTACAAGTCAAATGCAGAATTA